TCGGCAGAGATGAGCCTAGGCAGAAGGCTGCAGATAAACAGCCTCGCCTGTTTGGGAAACTCCAGCTGTTTGGTGTATCGGTGCTGGGTCATGTGGGAGAGAGAAGGGCAAGGAATGGGAAGAACAGGCAGTGACTGGGCCTTCAAAGCTTTGTGTACCTATGGAGGGAGAGATAGATATGCCAGGTGTCAAGGAGAGGTGGGTGACTGATGAAATGGAGGGTGCTGAATCAAGCACGGCAGGGTGACACTCACCTGAGGTTGAGGCCTGGCCCCTGTGACCTGTGGTAGCATGGATAGGTTATCAGCTACGCTCACTCCTCCCCACTACGCCCAGGCTCTCCCTTTGTCCTCCCCTTGTGGGCTTAGTCTTCAGACCTGCTGGGACCTGTAGAACAAGCTGGTGAAGACAGATGGGAGGAGAGGGGGGGAAACACGGGCCCAGGGTGTGAAAGAAAGACGGGCTAAGTCCCAGACTTGGTCTACACACTGAGACCCAATGCTGGGTGGAGACTTCAAGCCCAGGGGTCGTTCAGAGTCAGGTGGAATGGCAGTTTTGTAATTGCAGCTTCTTTGGCACCTGGGATTCAGTGCCAGAATTTTCTGTGTTAGCGTCTACATTTCCATGTGGAAGTTGTAAGACATCACAAGCATTTGATTCTTCAAGCAAAGTCAGAACTTACTCTCCCTCAGCTCTTTTCTTTCACTTTTGTACAACCTGTATTGAGAAGCGAGCAAAGTGCAGACAGATGATTGTGTTTGCTGAGCCTGGCAAAGGACAGTAAATCATTAGCAGGTGAAGAGAAAGGCCTCATTCCAGTGAGGACTGTCAGCCCATGTTCTGTGAGACCAGGACACACTGACAGACTCACATGGCCTGGTGGAACCCAGAGTTTTATAACACGCAGGCAAGGCTGCTTTCCACCTTGTCCCAAAGAACTTTAATCTGAAAATACCAAAGACCCCTGTGTTAGACTAAGAAGGGACAAGAACCTAGGTTCGTGTCTTCCTGAGTTTTAGTCTCCAAGTCTAGGACTCTAAAACGAGAGCAGAAAAAAATCAGAGAATAGACAGCCAAAGCAAGAGTGGCATCATCACAAGACTGTGTGAGCAGTGAACAGACTGCACTCGACATTCAAGTCAGAAAGTGCCTGACCCCCAGATGTGTGGGCCAGCCTCACTTCTGGAAGCCTACACATTGCCAAGTCCTTTTCTGTCATGCATGGTGATAGAAAGAGAGTTAGGACTGCCCCTCTTGAGTGTAAGTTCTAAACGACTTCAGGCAGCTTCCTCTCCATGTCTGGAGGCTGAGGGGAAGGCTCAGCTAATTTCTCAGCCCTTTGAACTTCTAATTCTCTCTCCAACCTCAAAAGAAACTTTCTGAGGTTCGACTACACCATCAGTCTTGGCGTCAATTACAGACATAACAAATAACTAGATTGAGAGCAATCAAACATAAAATTTCAGCAACTGCAGTAAATGCTGGTTTTTACATAACATGTAGAGCATGAAGGACAAAGATTAACACTCACTGAGCACCTTCTGCATGCTAGCCATCTTGTTTCTATGCAGTACCTAAGAATAAATTAAAATGTGATAGAAATACTTGTGAATAGGCATACAGAAAATGTAAGCTCCTCTTCACACTTCTCTTCCTTTACATGATAATCTAATAGTTAAATCTTTGTAACAAATTTTGAAATTCATATTATTGTCCTCAACTTCCAGTTGAGAAAATCATAGTGACCAAAAGTGTCCGACTAGCAAGTAGTGACACAGGCGTATGAACCAGGATCTGTTTCTAAAAACCCACTTTTTTTCCTGGAACACACAGGAACCTTCAACAGTAAATATTTCATTAAAGCTTGTTTTTAAAGCTTGTTGAGCAATGCAAGCCGCTCTGGAAGCTTGTCAAAGCGGATTACAGAATCCCCCTCCTCTTTTGGGCCCAGCCCGGGAGGAACAGTAAGCCCGCCACCTGAAGGCAGCCCTGCAGGCAGAGGGCACCAGGAGCCAGCACAAGGCATTGTGCATGGCAGGTCCTCAGAGAGTGTCAGAGAAGTGCCACTCCCCCTCTGCCCTCAGCCTGCTCCCTGCCAGGCTTTGTGTGAGGAAAGGTTTCCACCCACACCCAACAGAAGGGAAAGAATCTTTAATAACCAAACACGAGAAAAACCTGTCTTCGTCCTTGCAGAAATGAAAAAGAGGAGAAGGAGGCATTGTCCTTTACAACAACCCCCCCCCACACACACACCCCCAAAAAATCTAAAATGTGTATTTTGCATTTGCGGTCTATTTAGGTATACCTCTCCAAGATGATTTCTATTTGTCTTTTTTGTGACTCAAGAAAAGCCAGGCTTAGGGGTGGTGATGGCATATAAATTAAAGATATGGAGGTATCTCATTGAAATTCTAAAGATGTGCTGATCCTGCCCTAGGATTTCTCTCATCAAAAGAGTTCTCTTGAAGTGCTGCTGCTGACTTATTAATACAGATCATGCTTTTATTTGATTATTTATCTAATCAGGATTCACCTTCAGTTTAAGCTCATTAAGTCTGTTGTTAATAGAGTGAGACTGAAAGTGTGCTTGATGGTGGAATTACATCCAAGTGAGACAGAGGCTGTGTTCCGGCATTAATGGCAGGAACAAAGAGCTCCCTGTAAGCCCGTGTCACCCTTGAGTGGAGCGTGTGAACCGCCTGCCAGCCAAACAGAAAGGGCACCTATTTAAAAGGTTAGTTTTGTAGAGTACGGACTGAACATTATAATTAAATACACTTAGTAACAGAGAAATGAAAATGACAAGCACTCTAATTATTCCAGAAACCCAGAGAATAATACCCATTCTTCATAGGCATTGTGTGAGGGGCGCCTTCCTAATGGGCTTTACGTGACACTTGGGAGCTAGATTCCGGTGTTGGCTGCTCCTCCTGCCTCAGCCTGACCCCACCTGTTTGCTTCCACTTCCCGGTGCTCTGAAGAGCTCATGCTGTGCACCAGCCCGGTAGCGTGTCCCGGATCCACACAACAGGCCACCGCGACGTCTCTCTCCCACCTGGATGGGAGTTTGCCAGCGTCCGCTGCTATGGTTAAGTCCTCTTCTTCACGGTCTTCTTGCCGCACAAATAGGAAATTCCACTTTTTGTTGCACTAAGAAACCTCTAGCTACACAGCGCCACGCTGAAAGAGAGTGGTGAGCATCAGAGCTCGCGGCCCACCGAGGCCAGCGAGTCCCTTCCTTGGAAACGCCGCAGCCTGGACTTGGCGCCGTAATGGGCTAAATTATTTATCCAGTCGGATAAGAGAGAAAGCAACCAAAAGCTTCCTGAGTTTACAGCCTGAGTCCCTGGATTCATACAGGAAACAGGCCAAGCTCCAACACTCAAAAGAGAAAAGAAAAAAAAAGAACCTTTCCTCCTCCCGTCCTGTTCCATCACCTCTCATGTCTGGCGTAAGTCCCAACCATGGAGAAAATAAGCAGTGCCCATCTATCTTCTTGGAATCACTGGGTGCTGTGCGTCAGGCACTGTGAATATAAAATGTTTAAAATGTGGCCATGGCCCTCAATGAGCTTACCGTACATCCGCTCAGAGAAAGCAGAGGAAACATCGGACTTCTCGCTCCTTCCTTGCAGACACCGTCGGCACTGTGCTAAGTACTGGGGATGCAGCACTTAGACTGCAGTCTAGGGAGATACTGGAAAGCAGGTGATGTCAAAAGCACTCTCTGACCAGGGCCCTGAGGGGTAAGGAAGGGTGTTAAGTAGCAGTAAACACAGAAGCTGTGAGACAGTGTGTGGTGGATTTATCAGGTGATACCTTCAGTAAATGCTGTGAGATCAGAGCAGGTGTTAGTTTTGGTTTGGATACTGCTGCAGGCAACAGAGCCAAACCAGCTGCCCCAGGGAAATGCAGTGACTCTCGGCCCATAGGTTAGCCAGTGTGCCCGAGGCCAGCACTGCAATGTCTTGCAGATCAGTGTCATAAGATTGGAGCTGCATGGGATGAGCTCACTGATAAGAGGAGTCTCTGCAAGTTCAGGAGCTTCTATTCTTGTTCCAGGGAACTCACCTCCATGCCTGGGGCTGGCTGTCAGGTCAAGAAATATGGCCTGACTTTTAAGACCTTTCTTTCACTGTGGAACTTAGGAGAGAACAAAAAAGATCACTTACAAACTTGTTTCTCTTATTACAGTGTGTTGGAAATTCTTATACAATTAGAATTTCCTACTGAGGGTTGTACTTAGAGTCGTAATTATATACATGATATTTCTTGTTACAGTCTCCAGACTTCTAAATCTAATTTGTATCTTTTTTAAGATACCTATTATGATGGCCTCTATTCATTTGTATACATGGCCCTTTCCAACCCATTAATTTCCTCACAGCGAGAAACATGCCTTATTCATCTTTCCAAACCCTTTATCACTTAGCACGTTGCCTTGAATATAATAGGCACTCAGTGAATATCGGTTAAATGAACAATATTGTCCAAAAATGGAAGATGCCCTGGGCAGTTGCGTTTAGGACCTTCCTTTGATCCCAAATCTGAAATTTACCCAAAAATGGCCTTTCCCTAATTGGAAAAATTCGTGCAATTTAAGAGAGAAATACAGGCTTGCAAGGATGCGGGATGGAAAGGGAACATCCCCAGCTAGCCAGGTGAACAGGAAGGCAGATGTCAGTGTGGAGTTACCCGAACCTCTTATTGTGAAGGGGAGGGGAAGCTTGTTGTGAGAACCAAGGTTGGATGCTACAGGAGCTGAAGCCTGTAGCAGCATCAGCCTCATGGAGAAGCATAAAAGCACAGGACATTATAAATAAAAATGACATTAAATTTTACTATGGGGTACATAAGAGACCTCACCATTGCTCAGACGTTATCTTAGAAGTAACTCCTGACAAGAAAGGAAACAACCAAAGGCCATAAACTTGTGACAGGACCATGGTGGGGAGGGGTTGCAGGGTCTCCATCTTTTCATTCATGTATCGTTCTCTGCAGGTGGAATCGGCTGTGTAGGCCGAGACAAGGGCCAGGTTCGAAAGTGCCTCGATGTGGTGGAGATCTACAACCCCGATGGGGACTTTTGGAGAGAAGGCCCACCTATGCCCAGTCCCCTGCTCTCTCTCCGAACCAATTCTACTAATGCAGGAGCAGTTGATGGGAAGCTCTATGTCTGCGGGGGGTTCCACGGAGCAGGTACTGACGCCGTTTTTAATGTTTGTAACCTCCTTTGGTGTTGATTTTAACCTCCCCTGACCTGAGCCAATCGCTGGTGAATAGTCCCGAGAGCAGTGTAAGAACTGGAAAAAGCGTGGCTTTTAGAGAGGAGTGACCTTGGAGACTCACCAAGCCTCTGAACTTGGGTTTTCATGTCTACAAAATGGAATTACTACCTCCTCAAGCTACTGTAAGAGCTCGTGGGGCCTCCCCGGTGGCGCAGCGGTTGAGTGCTGGGTTGCGAAGCTGCCCGCGGCCTCTGCAGTGCCGGTTCGATCCCCGGCTGCTCCCTGGCCACTGGAGGAGGGTCCCACATGGCGCGCAGACCTCTCCTGCCGCCCGCTGCTCCCCTCAGCAGTGTACTTCGGTCCTTCTGCCTGCTCTGCTCCCTGCTCTGGCTCTGGTGAATTCTCTCACCCTCCCGCGCTTCTGACTGTACCCAGTGCTTGTATAAATAAATAAATAAATAAATAAATAAATCTTTAAAAAAAAAAAAAGAGCTCGTGTAGCTAGTGAGACCTTGTTTATAATGTGTCTGGCATGCAGCAAACACGCAGTGAGTACTGTTGAGTGTGATTTAGTCCTCGTTGTAGGACTAAAGGGGAGATTTTAAAATGTGGAAAAAGCGCTGGGTTTTACCTCTGTCTTTACTGCTCCAGAGATCTGCCCTTAGAAGATTTTTTTATTCCTTCTCCACTGCTACCACTTGAAATAAAATGCTTGAAAACATCTCTAAAATAATGCCTTCTGCATTATTTTTTTACCACACTCCATTTCCATAGATCTAGTTGTACCACCACTGCATTCTCCAGTATAGATTCATAATTTTTTTATGTTACCAGGCAGATTTTTAAATATGCACAAATCTAATAAGCAACTATCTCCAAATTTGATTAGTTGCAATAGTAAATAAGGCAGGATGCATTTATATTCAAAATGACTAAGTATTTAATTCTAATCTCACTAATAGAAGCTACTAGGCCAGTTGGTAGCCATGAAAACATGCCTCCAGAGCACATACAGGCTTGGAAATGTTAATTGTTAAGAGTAAAGATTAAAATAAAGCTGATGAGGCAACAAAGCAGAGCCTATTATAAGTCTACCTTCATTTTTAAAGGACATAATTATATGTAAGTTAAAAACTGAAGTTCACACTGTGAAATAAAGGAGATATATGAGGTCTGTGAGCCACATGCCATGAGTATATTTGGCTCTTGATTTAAACAAATCTGCAAAAAGACATTTTTCAGGTAACTTGGGAAATCTGAATATGGACTGGATTGCTAGATGATATTCCGAGATTGTTCATTTTGTCAGGTTATGCTAATAATGGCATTGCAATTTTTTTAAGGATCTATTTATTTATGCATACAAGAGCTGGGGTACAGGCCAGAGATGCAGGAGGGTGAGAGGATTCACCAGAGACAAAGTGGGGAACAGAACAGGTGGATTGATTGAAATACATTGCAGAGGGGAGCAGCAGGCGAGACAGGAGAGGTCTGCTGTACCATGTGGGTTGCTCCCTGGCCAGCAGGGGATCGAACTCGTGCTGCAGAGGCTGTGGATTGCTTCATAGTGGGGTGCTTAACCCCTTGCGCAACCAGGGAGGCCTGGCATTGCAATTTTATATAAAAGAGAAAAGAAAAACCACCCTAACAATTAGAGGTTGCTTAGAAGTACCTGTGGATGAAATGACATGCTGTCTGAAATGTGCTTTAAGCTACTCCAGTGGATTTTTTTTTTTAAGTAAATAGGGTCAGGAAGGGGCCAAAAATAGATTTTACAAAACTAGTAAAATGTTCGTAATTGTTAAAGCTGGATAATGGGCATGCAGGGCTTTATCTCAGTACTTTGGCGAGTGCTTGAAAATTTCCATATATCTAGTTGTACCATCATTGCATTGTACAGTAGGGCGTCATAAATTTTTTTCTCTGTTTGTTCTTCAGAGGACTTTCCAGAGTGGAAAGTTTTGATTATCTTTTATGTTAGAATACATATGCTTGTGTAAAGGGGGTGATCTATCACAGCAGCAAGAAACCTGGCACAGTGACATCTAGCACCCCACGATGAGGCTCTGTGTGTCAGGAGGGGTACGCAGAGCCCCAAGGGAGAGAGAGCCCAGCGCTGGGCCCACTCACCTGCTAGGCCACTTCTCCAGCCCCAATCATGTGCCCTCCCTTTAAGAGGAAGCCATTAAAAATATATGGCTTTTCAAAAACCTGTGCATGAATGTTTGCTGCAGCAATATTTGTAACAGCCAAAAAGTAGAAACAACCCAAGTGTCTAGCCGTTAATGGAAAAATAAAATAATATCTATTCATAAAATGGAATACTATTTGGCAATAAAAAGGAAGGAAGTACTAATACATGCTACAATATAAATGAACCTTGAAAATGTTATGCTGAGTGAGAGAAGGCAATCATATATATCGGTATGATTCTAGTTACACGAAGGTCCAGAAGAGGCAAGGTCATAGACAGACTGTAGCTTTATGCTTGTAGGGGAAGGATGAATGGGAAGCGACTCTAATGGATACAGGGTTTCTATTGGGGGGAAATGTGTTGAAAATAGATGGTAGTGATGGCTGCAGAATTCTGTGAACACACTGAAAACCACTGAATTGCAGACTTTTAAAAGATGTATTTTATGGTTGGTGGCTGTATCTCAGTAAAGCTGATACTAAAGAAAAAATTTTAAGAGATCTCCCCCTCCTACTTCCCCCTGCTTTTGTATTTGACATTAATGGGGAGAATTAGCTGAGTTGCCCACGGGGAGAATGCATGGAGGCCAGTTCTTTGCAGGCAAGAGGAAGAACTGGCTCATTCCAGAGACAGGTTAGGTTTCCAGACACGGAGAGAGAAGACAGATGACACCTAGTGGCAGGAACATTCTGTGGTCTTGAGAACCTGCCATGACTCCTGTGCCTGTGATGGGCACCCAGAAATCCTGCCATTCAGGGAAGCAGTTAGACAAGCATCTTGGGGATAACCGTGAGGAACTGAAGACCAAAGGCCCATTCCTGTGTTTTCCAGCTCAGATGTGCCTCTGGGATTCCTGTACATTCCACGAAGAAGGGATACTGGCAGACCGTCAGCAGGCTATCTGCTGACAAAGTCCCACCTGGGCTCTTGCTCCAGCTGCTGGCTCTTTGAGACTCCTTTCAGCCTCTGGTTTTAACCTGTTTTCCCCTAACTCCCTGATGCAGGATTCCCTCGTCCCTTCCCACCAGCAGCAACCAGTTGGCACCAAACTTATTTTCCCACAGAAAAAGACACTGAAACAAGGATTTGAGTGCAGATCGTTCCGGGGGACACTAAGAGGAGAGAAGAAAATGAGACAGAAGAGGAAGGGGTGGGAAGGAGTATGAGCCCTTTGGCACCTCCGGGGGACAGAGTAGCACAGGCCTCAGATTGTCCCTCCCAACGGGTGAGGAATCCTCAGAATGACTTCCCAGCACTTCCTGCCAATTTGGCCCACTTGAGCAGAGAGAAAATCCTCAGGCCAAGAGTAGCAGGTGGATGTAATCGACATGTTCTGGAACAGTGATCACAGAGGGGATTTGAGTGGCAGGTGATATGTCAGTGATATTACTGTCAGTCTCGTCTCCCAATCCTAACCACCCACCTCTCAACATAGAAGGTTTACTACATTCAACTAAAAAGCTGCTGCTGAGCAAATTCAGCTTGTGATGGTTTTAGCCGTCAGTGTCTCATCCCACACCAGCCTCTTCTCACCATTGGCTGTGTATTCTTTTTTCTAGAATGCATCCAAGTATAGGAGCTCATTTCCATGCTCTGTGCTGAGCTGACATATGGATCTATATATGTTTTATAAGTTTGTGTGAATGTGAAAGACTGACATAGATGTGTCACCCTGAGTACCATTTTCTCTTCAGGCACTAGCAAGCTAGAGAAGGCTGGAGGGGTCTGCTAATGGCTGGCCTGGCTTATTGCTATTTGTGCAGCGACATCAGAATGGCCATGAGAGAAAAGAGTGTAGGAAATTGTTCTTTCTTTTAAAATAATTGGAAATAATATCAAATTTAAAGTGACAAAAATTAGTATGATGAACACACAGATTCAACTATTAACATTTTGCCCCTTTTGCTCTATTAATCTGGCTACGCGTGTGTTCACATTTATATAGACAGACACATGGTTTTGTTCTGACCAAATGCAAGTTGCATGCTTCATGCTCTTTATCCCTAAATCCTAGAATGTATAAAATAAGTATATTCTCTTATATAACACAGTATAGTCAACACATTTAAGAATCTTAACATTGATTCCATATTTTCATTTATCCCACTGTTACAATTCTGATTTTGTCACTTGAAATAGTAATGTCCTCTAAATGCATGTTGTTCCCTCTCCATGCCTGTCCAGGGCCAGGTATTGCATTTGTTGATGTGTCGCTTCAGATTCTTTTAATCTATAGTATTTCCATATATATTTATATATTATAGATAGTATAATATATTTGCCTTTTTCCCCATCTCAAATTAAAATTTCTCTTTGGGGATTTCCTTGTGATTAAATTCAGGTTCTGCATTCCCAGCTGGACTATTGCATAACTGCTCTGTCCTTCTCAGGTTATCACGTTTGGAGGCAAATCATGTCCACCTGCCCCTCCTTGGCTTTGTTGGCTTTATTTAATTAGTCAAGATATTGTCTAAATTCAGCACTGTCTGGTTACTGTTTTTCCTTTGCCACTCAAAAGGATGTATGGGAGATTCTTTCAAACCGTGCATTTTACTTTTATCACTAAACAGTGTCACCCAGAAATCATTTTTCAAAGGATTTCAATGAAACCCAGAATCCATATCATATAATGTTCAAGATGCCTAGTATATAATTCAAAATCACTTGCCATACCAAGAACCAAGCAAATATCAACATTTTATGAGGGAAAAGACAAGATAATCAAGAGATACCAAACTCTGAGATGACACAGATTTTTAGATAACTAGGCAGACACTTTAAAGCAGTTATTATAAATGCGGGCAAGGCTGTAGAGAAAGAGGAACCCTACTATACTGCTGAGGTGAATGTAAACTAGTCCCCCCCATGGAATAGAGTATGAGGGTTCCCAACAGACTACAAATGCATCTGACATGTGACCCGGCAATACTACTCCTAGGAATCTACCCAAAGAACACAAAAACACTAATTTGAAAGGAAACTTACACTCCCATGTTCATTGCAGCACTATTTACAATAGCCAAGATATAGAAACAGCCTTAATGCCCCAAAGCCGATAATGGAGTAAGAAAATACAGTATGTGTGTGTGGGTGTATATACATATTAAAATATTAATATATTAATGGATTAAGAAAATAGTGTGTGTTAAAATATTAAATTATTGATATTAATATATTAAAATATTAAAAATAAAGTAGTTATTATAATGGTGCTCCAAAAAGGAACAAGTGAACCACTTTTGAAAGGAATATAAAAATAGAAAATTTTGGTATTAAAATAGAAGCTATTAAAGAAGAGAAGACAAAGAAAAGAACAGGAAGAGGAGGAGGAAGTAGAGGAGCCAAATGGAAATTTTAAAACTGAAAAACAAAATAACAATTTAAAAAATTCTGACTGGGGCCTCCCCGGTGGCGCAGCGGTTGAGCACTGGGTTGCGATGCTGCCCGCAGCCTCTGCAGCGCCGGTTCAATCCCCAGCTGCTCCCCGGCCACCAGAGGAGGGTCCCACATGGCGCACAGACCTCTCCTGCCGCCCGCTGCTCCCCTCAGCAGTGTACTTCGGTCCTTCTGCCTGCTCTGCTCCCCGCTCTGGCTCTGGTGAATTCTCTCACCCTCCCGCGCTTCTGACTGTACCCAGCATGTATAAACAAAACAAACAAACAAATAAATAAATAAAACATGCCTCTATAAAAAATAAATAAAGTGCAGAAAAATCAAAGAAATTATTAAAAAAAATAAAAAATTCTGACTGGATTTAATAGCATGGGGCAGGAAAGAGTCAGTGCCTCTGCAGACAGAGAAATAAAAATTTTCCAATCTGAATAACAGAGAAAAAAATTTTAGTGAATTTTTCCACTAAAGTACCTCCAACAAAAGAGAGTACCCCCTAATGCACCTGGGGCTACAGCTTACATGGAATTTCTTTGGCATCTCATTTTTTACCTCAAAAAAATAACATGATTTTTTAATTTACTTCATAGAAGATAATGTTTTTTAATTGCTTTCTACTGAAAGGGGCAGGATGCAGGGAGATTTTTCTAATTCCTTTAATAATCAAGATGCTGTGGCATTAAGGGAGTCTGTTTTTGGAAAATTAACTAAATTGTCAAGAACTGACATTGAGTTCAACCTCCAGTTTCTTTTTCCTTGTTAATATAATAACATTTCAAGAACCCAAACTCAAATAGGTAGGTACAAATTCAACCATTGTTTTCTAGCTTTATGAGCTTTGTTTGAGGAGAAGTTAACGCCCAGAATGGCTCCATAAGGTGTGCAGAGCTGCCAGGCAATTCTGGGGAGGAGCTAAAACCCATCTGCTTCCTCCAGAGAGGGCAAGTCTCAGTGACACGAAAGGCCTGATCTAGTACCCCCCTCACAGTCGAGATGTACATATATGGTTTAAAAAGTCAGTCCCCCCAGTACATACATTGTCTCCGCTAATCATAATAAAATTGTGAAATAGGATGGAAATCTTCCATTGGCCCCTCCAGCCTCACTCTGTCTGTCTGCAGCCCTCTCTGTACATGCAAGGTTGGACTGGTTGGTTCTGCCCCCTGGGAAGCAAGAGCAGAAACTGTTGGGTAAAAAGAGGGTAAAGCAGGATATTTAGTCTCCCCGCCTCCTCTACCTGAGGTCTGCTCCTGCCAAGTTGCTGCCTTCCCCCTCCCTCAGTTCCCTCCCCTTGCTGCTTTCAGGTCTGGGAGTGCATAGTAAAGGCCCTTGCTGTTCTCAGCCCTAGAATCCTGTGCCATCCCTAGGGGTCTTCCTAAGCCCCACCCACATCTTTCCAACAGTCCCTTTGCTACACCTTAACTGGAATGTTACCCACATAGACCTGCGCCATCTGCTTCCTGTGAGGACCCTGGCTGTGTGTTAGCATCCCTGCTGGCATTTAAGGAAACAAGCTGAGGAAGGTCCATGGCTCGCACGTGGTCATGCGACTCCAGCTGCACCTCCTCTCCAAAGTGCAGCAATGACAGTCCCAGCCCTTCCTCACACCCCACTTTAGACAGCAGTGTGCTTGCCATTATGTCTTGAATCATTTTTGAAAGTGAGTTGTATGTCTTAATTTCTTAAATGTCCAGATACTGTGTCTTTCTTTCAAACGATAGTCAGTTGTCTGTTAACTAATTCTAAGTATATGATGCCTTGTGTAGAGGAAGTTGTTTAATACAATGATGATGTCCTCTGAACTTAATACCACTGTGACGTTTTGCCTTCCTTCTTTGCTGTTCTTCAGATCGCCATGAGATCATCTCCAAAGAAATACTGGAGCTTGACCCATGGGAAAGCCAGTGGAATGTTGTAGCTGTCGATGTCCTCATGCACGACAGCTATGATGTCTGCCTGGTGGCCAGGATGAATCCCCGAGACCTCATCCCCCCGCCATCGGATTTGGTGGAAGAAGACAATGAGCACTGAGGTCAGTGTCGCTGTAGGGGCTCTGCTGTGTCTGCAAAGGAGGTGTTAGGGGTGGAGAGAGCCCAGGGGCAGCCATGAGTTCCCCCCACCCCCAGACATGTGTGTTGCTTGCATAGTGGGCCATGTGCAAAGCCACATGTGCTGGGCACTGCAAGGGGGAGTGTTCAGTGTCCACCCACGGGGATCTCCAGTCAGCCAGCAAGGACGGGACACGACAAGGCTGAATGTGACGATGCATAGAGGAGCATGGGGTGACACTGCAAGAGTGCAGGGAATGTAGGGGCCTCACAGTGCTGGGGACTTGAGGACAGCATTGCCAAGGAGCAGATCTTCCTCGCGGCCTCGAAGGACGAGGAGGAAACGGTCCCTTGGGTGTTATTGCTGTTGAGGTCGCGGAAGCAGCTGAGCAGAGGAAGACCAGATTGCCTGGGCCACTGCCTTAGCTCCTAAGGCTGAAGGTAGAGCTTGGAGCTAAATGATCAGCGCCTGGAAGATCGAGGGGTTTGGACCTCTGAGCTGGGGAATCAATGAAATTGTGATGATAAAGGAAGACTTCTATTCGTGCTCTGCTCTGGCTTCGGTCTCACAAGGGCGTCGTTCTCATTCTACTACTGTAGCAACCACGCCTGACACAGGCAGGCAGTGGACTACGCTGTGGCGATGCCCAACCACAGTGAGCTGAAGACCAAGCGACATGACAGACACGTGGGTTCCACAGCCCTGGTCTGGGGCTGGTCCAGGGAGTCCTGGCAGGACTTAGCAAGCTGGCCTGGGCCAGCTCTCAGACACATACAGCCTTCTTTTGGGTGGCCCTTTCTGAAAACAACTGACCTAGACCATCCAGCCCAGAGACAGACCAGCCTCTGCAGTGGAGGAAGGAAGAGGTGCAGCCCTTGGCTGCCAGCTGCCCTCTTGGACGGTCTTTATAGCATCTTCCCCAAGGTTCGGGGGTAAGGATGGAGCCACTTGCTTTAGCACGAACATTGAGCATAATCAGAAAAGTTACTCCCAAAATATACTTTCGGGACAACATTTATTTTTTTTTAAAGATTTTATTTATTTATACAAGAGCTGGGGTACAGGCCAGATGTGCGGGAGAGTGAGAGGATTCACCAGAGCGGGGAACAGAACAGGCAGATAGACTGAAATACACTGCTGAGGGGAGCAGCGGGCGAGACAGGAGAGGTCTGCTGCACCATGTGGGTAGCTCCCTGGCTGGCCGGCCGGGAATTGAACCCGTGCTGCAGAGGCTGCAGACAGCTTCACAGCACTGTGCTCAACCTGCTGCGCCACTGGGGAGTCCCATTTAGGGGCAACATTTAAACAATGCATGGGAAATCCATCTACATTACTCACCATCTACGCTTTGGAAAAACGGTGGTTTCAAAGAATGTATTTTGGTGGCTGTTGGTCAGAAATTTCTAAAGCATTTCAACAGGCTCTTTTTAAGCAGGAGAGTCAGTAATTCCCTAGAATTTTCCCACAGGGAGACAGTCCTAGACTGTGACAGCTTCTCTTGGTGCAGAGCAGTGTGACGGTGATGACAGTGGCCCATGTCCCCTGTTCCAGCTGCTGCCAGGGCAGGAGAGGCAGTCCTGGAAACTGGAGCTAACTGGAGAACCTGCCACCATGAAGAGGGGCCACTTAGACCTTGGGCAGAGTATCTCCCAGGGGGACAGACTCTGGGAGAGCAGGTGCCACGTCTGGTTGTATAGTTGTACCCCAAATGCTTATTGCTGTACCTGGCACTTGGAGGGATCTTTAGGTGGCCAGTATGGGATGATGTTTCTCATTCTGAAGCCTTATTCTCTGCGCATGTCTGGGAATCTGAATGAAAATGATCTAAGTCTTCTCCCTAGCGGAGGCCATAATCTGTGGGTTTGCTTTCTTACTGCAAGGACAGAACAGTTCCTCCAAGGAGGCATGCTGGCTGCTGGCAGCCTTGGTAAGGACACCCTCACAAGGTTCCGCTTCCCCCACTTTCTCTTAACAGCACCACTGTGGCTGCTCCTGTGTGAACACAGCAGAAGCTGTCACGTCTCCCTGGGTCCAGGAGGTCTCGCCTTGAGTGGTGGTGCATCTTCCAGAGGCTCTGGGTTTGAGATCCAGGCTCTAGTTCCAGCGGTGCTACTCAGCTAGCCGTGTGATCGGGACAACATAACTTTTCTAAAGTCACCTAAGCAGAAGAAGAAAAGTACTTTATAGGGTTGGCGTGAGGATTGAGGGAGAAAACACTGAACAAAGTGCCTGTTAGATATGAAAACAACAACTGCTCCAGCTGCCATTATCATCATCCTGATCGCTGCAGTCAGCACTTCCCAAAGCACGGAGCCCAGAACAACGCAGTACTTGAGTACTTAATAGAGTACTTAATTTACCAGACCCGGCCACTTGTCCCCTCCGTGGGTGCCCTGATAGACAAGCACGGGTTTGCTTTAGTGTTTGTTTTAAGCCCTGGTGCCCCTCATCTGACTTTCCTGTTCATAATTAAAAACAAGCCACCCTGCCCTGCGCCCCTGTTGTTAAGATGATCAGTAGAGATTCCCACCGAAACAACATCTCCCTATCACTCTTTAATCCCAATCTCCCTGGCAGACTCTCATAAAAGTCGCCTGTTGGCTAGTCCTTATCTTTGTGACACTGGATTGCTTGACTCCCAGCAAGGGGACACCAGAGGGAAGTGATTTAGATGCTGGGGCTGAGAGATGCCTGCAGCTGTGAGCCACAGCCCGCTCAGTTTGTGTTCATCAAGAAGGCATCATTGTTCTCACTGATTGACTTTATAATGAGCAAATGCTTTAAATTTGAACTTATAAAATAAAATCTTAGTAAGAGAGGCTGGCTTTTATTTTGCTTTGCATATCATAAGTTGGTGTAAAGTCCATATGAAGAAGGGGTTCCTGTGCCCAGGAGGTGCTGAGCAGCACCATGTGACTGTGCGTATAGGAGTTTGTGTATATGTTTATATGAGTGTGTGCGTGTGGTGTGTGTGGATGTGTGCGTAGGGGTGTGGAATGTGTGATTCTCAAGACGCTGTACACTAGAGCACCTCACCAAACTACTGGAACTAGGAGACAGGGATCCAGGAAGGGAGACAGAAGCCACATCTTTTCCCACACATAACAGCTGAACTAAGCACATACATTGTGTTACGAAAAATACATCAATTCAGATCACTTAGTGCTGTCTGCTGGAGGCTTTTCTCCACTGAGGAATAATAGTCAGCAATGCAGCTCCAGGCACTGTGCCCCAAGACGCGCTTACCTCACAGCAGCCTGCCCCTCCCTGGGAGAAGGGTGATGCTACTATGACCGTTCCCATTTTAGAGATGAGAAAGCCACCCTTGTCCCAGGTCATAAGGCTGGGAGCACACTGGGGTCGGAGCCGCACAGCCTGCCCTCACATGCCAGCTGCATGACCACTGCTCAGCATTCCAGAAGCCTGGGTACAGCATGCCAGGCTGGCCCTGGGAACCAACCAAGGCCAGAGAAATCCTTGCCCAGCAGCCTGGTGCTTGGAGGCACCCCACTAAGCTCTGTTTCTCCCTGTCCAGGATTTCAGCTCATCTGGCTCCCCCCCCCCCCGTGGCAGGCCCAGCCCTGTCCAGTCAACAGCTGCAGCTCAGATGGGAGCTGACTGCCAGCAGGTGGACTCCAGAGTTGAGAACATCGATGACCTCAGGGTCCCTGGGGAAAGAGGCCCCACTGCCAGCACTGGGCTTTGGTCCATTTAAAACTAAGAAGGGGCCTCCCTGGTGACACAAGGGGTTAATCACCACACTATGAAGCAATCCGCAGCCTCACCCTCACAAGTTTGATCCCTGGCCGGCCAGAGAGCAACCCACATGGCGGGGCAGACCTCTCCTGTCTCGCCCGCTGCTCCCCTCAGCAGTGTATTTCAGTCAGTCTGCCCATTCTGTTCCCTACTCTGTCTCTGGTGAGTCCTCTCACCCCCCGCATCTCTGGCCTGTACCCCAGCTCTTGTATGCATAAATAAATTTTTTTAAAAAGTTCTCATCACAAGAAAAAAAAATTTTTATATAAATAAGTAGGGGCCTCCCCGGTGGCACAGGCGGTTGAGCGCAGTGCTGTGAAGCTGTCCTCAGTCTCTGCAGTGCTGGTTCCATCCCTGCCGGCCTCGGAGCAACCCACATGGCGGGGCAGACCTCTCCTGTCTCGCCCACTGCTCCCCTCAGCAGTGTATTTCGTCAGTCTGCCTGTTCAGTTCCCCCACTCTGTCTCTGGTGAATCCTCTCACCCTCCCGCGGATCTGGCCTGTACCCCAGTTCTTGTATAAATAAATAAATCTTTAAAAAATAAATGAATAAATAAATAAATAAATAAAGCTAAGTAAAACTAAGAAGGATGAAGAATGATAGCATAGACAGAGGAAAATCTAAAAGGCACCTGCAATGTAGACCTGTACCCGGTATGGGAAGGGGGTAGTGACTTAGCCCCAATGCTCAGGCAGGTGAGAAATCATTGACCACACTGGACAAGGTCTATCTGGTCACAGCCCGGGTCTCACCTGCAGCGTCATCTCTGTGGCCACGCCACTCTCAGAGCCCCAGACGGTCCTCCCAGTGAATCCCCTGGAGGCAGGGGGCGGCTCCAGGCTGACCAGCCTGCTGCTAACAAGCTGCAGCTGTCAGTGAAGCAGCTCCTCCCCCTGGTGGCCGGACGCGACAGTGCTCCTGCAACGAGGCCATGAGCTGGCCCTGACCCCCGCACCTGAGCCCTGGCTGAGGGCCAAGGAGCCACCTTGCAGGTGCAGACCAAGCTCCGACACAACCCGCCCAGCTGGGTGAGGAGAAGCAAGATACAGTCCTCCGACACCAACTAGACCCCAGGTACATCACAGAAGTCTACACATAGATTTTAAAAGCAAGAAAAAGTGGAAAAAGGAAAAGAGCACATTTTACAGAAAGGGAAGCTTGAATGGCTAGTAAACAATGAACAGCAGCTTGACCTCAGCAGGATTCAAGGGACAGCAGATTCCATGGGCAGCAAGTGGACAGCAGGATGAAGAGCCACTGTCCGGCGCCCTCAGGCCTGACACACCGTGTGCAGCACAGTCCCATGCAACTTCTTCGGAGGTGGCCTGACTTTACTTGATACAACTGAAGGGTGCCCTGCCAGCTTGGAGGGGAGAGCAGGGAGAAATCCTTGCCCCGTGCCTCGAGGCAACTGTGCACATACTCACCAGGGTATTCACAGGAGCGCTTGTTGTACAGGGAGAGGGTGTAAGAAAACGACCCCAGGACAGAAGAATGGGTGGGTACTCCAGAACCATCCATGCACTGGCTTCTCCTAGAAATTAAAATGAACAAACCTGTATGTGCACATCCCTGTGGACACTATCAGAAACACAACACTGACAGAACACAAGCAAGTTGCAGTTTTACAACTCAGGTAAAACTGAAAACATGATACTATGTATATGACTTAAACATGTGCCTCTTATAATGAAAGTTATAACAACATGGATGACAAAGCTTCACCAACCACAGATGGGGTTACTTATAGAAAGACACCCCATCCAGGAGTACATGGATAGTTCTCTGATGTCAAGGATTCCAAAGCAAGTATGTCAATACATTAGTGTTTGCTCTACCCGCGTGATGTTCACATGAGTATTTGTTATATTCTTCTCTGTACTTTCCTGTATTTTAAAATATATTTTATAATTATACAGGATTTTTAAAAATACAATGCTCCCTGGTTCTATCCTCAAACTCCCTGCCCAGTGGCTACATGACCTTGGCCTGACTTTGTCCCTGTCTGAATCTGTGCTTCCTTATCTGTGTCAGGAAAATCATAAGTGTAAAAAGAATGACAGAGTTGGTCACTCAGCAAATCATGCGAGTGCCTGCTGCTGTCCAGGCGAGGGAATCGGTGGGCATGAGGATTCAAGGCTGCTTCAGACAGCCTTGGCACAGAGCACAGGACAGCAGGCCTTACAGGGGGCCTCCAAGTTGCCAACCCTGAGTCCCCACTGTGTGGGCCTGCCCATCCAGGGGCCAGTCAACATGTTGGGTGGCATCTGAGATAAAGGCTCACCAACTTCTCTGGTGGAAGTCATTCCTTTCAATTCCTTCACGATCCTTCCATTACATTGAGAGGTCTCTATGGGGCCTCATGCCTTTCCATGCCCAGCATGAACCTCTCTCCCTTTATAACATATAGACCACTCAGCAGCCACCCTGGGATTTGTTAGACAAGCTCCTCTGAGTTTCAGGACCTTTCAGGACCTCCCAGTTCTAAATTCTGGGGTGTTATGAGCAAGTTATAACAAGGCAAATGTGCTCCATGGATCTGCCAAGGTACAGCACACCATAGAAACAGATGGCACACAGAAATTGGCCCAACTTGGGGGCATGGGGGTGGCAATGTGTGGGTGGTAACACCTGTGCAGCACCTCCAGGGATGAGTGGGATTTATGTGAGCAGAGGCAAGACTGCGGGGTGGGGAAGAGGAGGAAGAGGAGACATTCCAGACAGATGGAGAAGCATGAAAGACCCCCAGTGGAAAGTGTCTGGGAAGAGGTCAGAGCAGAGTGGGAGCTAAAACAGGAAAGGCAGGTGCAGAGCTGTTGGTAGAGAGCCTCGTGCTTGCATGCCAGATGGTCTGGCTGCCATGTGTAGACAGTGCAGTAGCATAGGGTGTCTGGTTAGCTCCCGAAATTTGTTCTCTCCTTCTTCCATGATAATGGAATATGATTGATTTTAGCTGAATCTGTGCCCATCTGAAATAATGACTGCATATCCAGACTCAGCAATTCTGCTCCTAGATAAATACCCAAGAGAAACAAAACTTCAAGCCACTGAAAGACTTGCATACAAATGTTCATAGCAGTTTGATTAAAAATAGCCAAAAGCTGGAAACCATCCAAATGCCCATCAACAAGAATGGATAAATTGTGGTGGAATACTACAGAGCACTAATAAAGAGCAAGTTGTACTACATGCAACACTGTGGGTGAATCTCACAGACAGATAGAAGGTTGAGTGAAAGGAGTCAGACACAAAAGACGCCACAATGAACAATGCTTCAGTGCATTCATTGTTCAAAAATAGGTAAAAGTCAACTAGAGCCACAGAGATCAGGACAGTGATTACCCGAGGGTGGGCAGTGGGAGGAGAGAGATGTCTTCAAAGCGTTGCCACACAAGGGAGCCTGCTGAGGCACTACAGGTGTCTCTCTGTCTTGGTCCTGGTTGTGGAGACCCAGGCCTGGACATTAATACATATTTATCCAGCCGCGTATATGTGTGTGCTGTTCAATATAAGCTCTACATGCTCCAGCCTCCCTTGCAGCAATGTGTGACAAAAGACTAAATTCAGGCCTATGAGATGTAAATGGAAGTTGTACATGCAATTTTTAAACAAGGTCTTGAAAAGAAGAAACTGACCTTGTCCCCTTCCTTGTTCATTAGAATGTAGATGTATGACTGACTCTGGCGCATTCGTATTAGATAATGGGGTGAGGTAACCTTAGAAATGAATGCAAAACCACACATGGCAGAGCAATAAGCTAGAAGGAACCTGGGTCTATGAACCCGTGGAACATGGCAGTGGCTCTGGATGGCTCCTTCCAGACTTCCTGAAAGTAAGAGAGAGAAATGTCACCGTGTCTAAGCTGTTGTTATTTGGGGTTTTCTGTAGTAAGAAGCCAAACTCAATTATAACTGAACAGACACCATTAAAGTTAATTGAACAACAGTGGGGAAAGCTTTAGGAAGTCTGCAGAGGATACACTGGACAGGATTACAGGGGAACGAAGAAGAGCCGTTTCTGTTACCTTTGTCTAGGCCAGGGGTGATATGCCCAAACAAGGGCAGTGATAGTGAAGGGCCCAGAAGAATTTGAGCGGTGAGATTGAATGCGGCCATGATAACCAGAACAGAGGCGCGAAATGCATTCAGGTTTCCAAACCTGGGGATAGGAAAATAGTAATTCTGTTAACACAGTTGGGAACAGGACAAGATCTGTGAAGCTAGATTATGACCTGGATTTTCCTTTCTTACTCATATCCTAATTTTCTAATTTCTTTTTAGACCTACACTAATTTCCACTGGACTCTTGGCTAATAAAGACCTGCTTTCAAAAAATCTGAGGGGAGTGATGGGGGGGGACAAAAGGAAGCTATTAATTATGAAGTGCTTTCAAAAGCTTTCTGAGCTCTCACAGATGTACACTGAGGGAGATGCCATTCATTATCCCTACTTGGAGAGTCAGAAGGTTATGACTCAGAAGTCTGGTTACCTGCCCGTGGGGATAGGGTTCATCTGAGGCCTTGATTTCAAGTTGGACCTTCTGGCTCTAAAACATGAGCTCCAAATCCCAACATTAGACTCTTCATTAGATTGTCTCTGTGTGACACTATCCCAACCTTCACCTTTAGGGGGACAGCCAAGAAGGCAATGAGGAAACTTGGCCTCCGATCCAGTGGGCCTGAGTCCCAGTTCAGGTGCTAACAACATAGCTAATTCTCACTATGATGTGTTGGTTGTGTTCCTGACAATTCCAGGAAGCTGAAACAGAGATAAGAAAGTGAAATTTCTGTTTTGAAGCCAACAACTTTGGTTGGGGTGAGGGGGGGTGTCTTGACCTGTAGAGAGATGTTGCAAATATGAGAACATGTGACAGTAAGTGGCAGCAGACATCTCTATGGGTTCCCAGGTGGTTAGAGCAAAAGTGCTTAGATATCACTTCCAGAATTATATTTACTTTCACATGAAAAATCCAAGAAATTGTTCCATCTGACCTCAACAGGACCTCGAAGAAACCTCTGCTACCATATTCAGACCAAATCTACTTAGGAAATAAACCACGTCATACCAAAGCTTGTCAGACACGTTTTGTGATGTCTTTACGTGCTTCAGATCTTTTGGAAGAGGCTCCAGACAGTGTGTTTCTGTCACTTTCCCAAAGACTAAGGATAGTAAATGAGACAGTTGGTGGTATTCTCAGCTCTGGGATTTGGGTAAGCTTTTTTTTTTTTTTTTTTTTTTTTTTGCCTTTTTTTTTCCCTGAGGGGTTTGGAGACTTTTGAAAAATGAAATGGGGGACCTCCCTGGTGGCACAAGGGGTTAAGATGCAACCTATGGGCCTCCCCACAGCGGTTGAGCGCTGCACTGCAAAGCTGTTCGCAGCCTCTGCAGCGCCGGTTCGATTCCCCTCCGGCCAGGGAGAAACCCACATGGCGCAGCAGACCTCTCCTGGCTCACCCACTGCTCCCCTTAGCAGTGTCTTTGGTCCATCTGCCTGTTCTGCTCCCCGCTCTGTCTCTGGTGAATTCTCTCACCCTACCACGCTTCTGACCTGTACCCCAGTTCCTGTATAAATAAATAAATAAATCTTAAAAAAAAAGATTCAACTATGAAGCTATCTGCAGCCACTGCAGCATGAGTTCGATCCCCGGCCAGGGAGCAACCCATAGGGCGCAGCAGACCTCTCCTGTCCCACCTGCTGCTCCCCTCAGCAGTGTATTTCAGTAGATCTCCCTGTTCTGTTCCCCTCTCTGTCTGTGGTGAATTTTCTCAACCTCCCACACCACTGCCCTATACCCCAGTTTTTGTATGCATAAATTTTTTTTAATTATTAAAAAAAAGAAAAATGAAATTGTCTTTCCTTCCCCTGTGGGCCTCAAAACCCCCACTGGAGGGCTGTAGTAATTCTGTATCCCAAAAGCAGTCAATTCTAAAAGTCACAGTAAAGCATCTCCAGAAGGTAGGGTTTCCATTTCTTTGTGTGGCTTCTTGGTTAAGTAACCTTGGGCAGTGCCCTTAAGCTACATTACAAAGTTCTTTGTAATACAGAACTTCCTGATCTCCAAGTTGCCTGTGGAGGTCTAGTACTTCAAATATACATCAAGGTTCAATCTTCATTTCTTAATGTGCAGCTCTTTCTGATATTTAATGTGTGGTAGCAAATATCATTGAGAAAAATATAAGAATGACTTGTATTGCTTTCTCTGAAATTAAATTTAATGACTTAGTGCCAAATTAAAACATCCAAATTTTTTCTAAACGTTTGGCTGAAACTCCAGACTCTCTAGCATTACACTGGCACATTTTATACAAAATCCAATGACTTCTTAAATTGTAAAGTACTCCAATGACATCTTTTTTTTAATATTTATTTATTTATACAAGCACTGTAAGTTCTTTTTGATGAAATACAATTTTTCTTGACTACAAAGTTCAATGTATTGTATTCAGCACCATAATATCAACATCTTTTTTTTTCAAAACATGAATTTTTTTTAAGCAATTAAAACTTTTATGTGTAACAATGACACTTCTTTGATGAAATTCACTATGATAATAAGCCTTAGGGGGCCAATAAAATGGACCATGGAGGATTACTGGTGCGTTGGTGGTGTGTCTGGTATGGTAACATACATCTGAAGAGAGATGAATCTATACTAACCTAGACAGTTGTAAACCAGTGTAACCGCAATGAAAACTGATTTTAAAATTTTCAACTAAAAAATGTAAAAAATAAAACTGTCTTAATCTCTTTGCCCATTTAGGTAAAATATTTTGTTGACAAGTGGGTCTACAGTCCCGTCCATCTCAATATTATTACTTTAGAAGTTCTAGTAATATTTTCATGGATATGCACAATTATATAGCGCTAAAAATTCTGACAGTACCTTCCAAATCTTTTTGATAGTTTTATCCTATGATAGCATTTTTGGGCATTTTAAGTTTTCAAATATTAATTTGAGGTTATGTTTTCAATGTTTTCTTCATTGATTATCACCAATTTTCTCCACTTAAACCACAAGTTTTAACTGTGCCCTGATAAAATACATATACATGTTTAGCACTATTATCTGTTAGCACTATGATCTTTTAAGCACTATTTGCTCAAGATAGTCCTAGCAGTAAATCAGATTCTTGGTTGAAAAGATCTATTTTTCATTCCAGAATTAGAATTTATGTAAAAAGTTTTAATACAAGGTTTTGTTTTGTTTTTATAGAGGCATGTTTTGTTTATTTATTTGTTTGTTTGTTTTTGTTTATACATGCACTGGGTACAGTCAGAAGCGCGGGAGGGTGAGAGAATTCACCAGAGCCAGAGCGGGGAGCAGAGCAGGCAGAAGGACCAAAGTACACTGCTGAGGGGGGCAGCGGGCGGCAGGAGAGGTCTGCACGCCATGTGGGACCCTCCTCCGGTGGCCGGGGAGCAGCTGGGGATCGAACCGGCGCCGCAGAGGCCACAGGCAGCTTCGCAACCCAGCGCTCAACCGCTGCGCCACCGGGGAGGCCCCAAGGTTTTTTTTTTTTTATTACAAGTTTTATTTTGTGCAGATTCTTGGAGAATATCAAAAGAAATTTCACTACTGTATTTGTCCTTAATAATTTATTTTAAATGTGTAAATATAAACACACCACACACCTGCTACTTTTGAAAGAATTATCATGTGCTAACAGTAAAATTTTAAGCTAGTGATTCTCCTAAAGCAACTAATATCTTGTTAATACAAGCTATTTAGCCCTGGTCCCTTCAACCACTGTTTTTCTCAGCTACAATGTTAGCAGTAATACCATTCTAAAACCGTCAGTACAACCCAAAGAGTCTGTCAAAATTTATTATTAATTTATTGTAATTACGATACCATTTACCATGAAGTGTTTTAATATTTCAATATCAGCATGATATGGGGGTGAACGCTGCCTAATTGTTAGTTCTGTCCTGTCCTCTACCAGGGGCTGCCAGTTTTAGCTTCTGGTCAAAACTCCGTAAGAGATTATCAGTGGGCCCCAGATCTGAAAGATGGAGCTGTATTTCCCAAGCAGCTGCAGAAAAGCAGTCCATGCTTACTCCTCTGGGTGGGAGATATCAAGTGATGTCATACCTAGGCCACTTCTCTGTTTGAAGTTACCTGCCAGCCTCCTGTAGTCATTTCCATTTTCCACCCCAGGATTAGGTTTTCAAATAAAAGCCCTACCAAAAGTCCTGAAGCAAGGATTTAAAATGCTGGCTGCCTGCTAGAAATAAAAGAAATAGCAAGCCTTGCATTAATACGGCAAAAAAGCACCTGGCCATATCTGCATCTCCAACTTCCACCGGCCCAGATCAAGCTTTAGCTCCAGGCAAGCCCAGGCAACAGCGCCCCTCTGCTCCCCAAAACCGTCACAGCGTGAAGTCTACTCCTCTTGGATTACTCCTCACAAGCCACCCTGGCCACGAAAGTATTGATGGATTCCAAACTCCGGCTGGCGTCCCGCGGCCACACGAGCACAGCCTGTGCTCCAGCCACGCAGGCTCCTTCCCCACGCCTCGGGCAGCCCCCGCCGCGCCTCGCCCCATTTCCTCTCGCTGGACTCTGCCAGGGCTGCACGCGTCACCCCCAGGAGGCCTGCCTAGACTCCCCGGCGGGTCAGAGCCTGTCCCGAGCTGCCCCAACTTCCCCGACGGCTCGTCCTTCCAGGAACGATCGCCACGTGCCCCCGCGGCCGGCCGAGGCCGCACTTCCGGGACCCCCGCCGGGGCAGCCTGGGGTTTCCTCCGTGATTCAGCAGACGGGTGCCCGCCCCCCACCGGCCGCGCAGTCTCGCCGCGAGGTCGGCGCGGGGACAGGGCCCCTGCCCCCGGGACCCTGGCAACCCAGCCCCTAACTCAGCGAGCCGTCACTGACGACGGCTCGGGCCTCCGCCCGGCTGGCAGCTCCGCGCGCGTCGCGCGACCCCGAGGGCCTCCCTTCCTCCCCCTGCCCCGACCGCTTCCGCCGCGGCAGGTCGGCCACGCCCCGCGCGCGCCCGCGTAGCCTCGTCTGCGCAGCCGCACGCTCCCTCCCGGCGCGCCGCGTGCCCACCCGCCCCGGGGGCCCCGCTGCATGCCGGGAGTTGTGGTCCCGGCGCCGGCGGCCGGCGCGCAGCGCGTGGCAGGAAGCGGAAGCGGCCCGCGGCCCGCCCCCGGCCCGCCCCGCCGCGCCGCTCGCCGCGGTGCTAGCACTGACGTGTCTCTCGGCGCAGCGGCGGCGCTCCGGAGCAGGCTGGGCCGCGGGCCGCGTCGCCTCTGTCGGAGCGGAGCGGAGCCGAAGCGGGACCCGGAGCCCGAGCAGCCGCCGTCATGGCGAGTGAGTGCCGCGGGGTCGCCCCGGCGACGCCGGGCCGGGCCGGACCCCCCTGCCCCGCGCCGCGCCGGGCGGGCGCGCGCCCTCCGGGCCTGCCCGGGTCCCGCCGAACGGGGCGCGCGCCGCCCGCCCGCCCGCCCGGGGTCTCCGCGCGCCCCCCGCTCGGCGGGCTCCGGCTCGCGCTCGCCCCGGGCGGGGGCTCCCCCGGGTCGGGGAGGTCGGGAGGCTTCTCCGCCCTAACTCTCGTTTTGTCTCCCCGTCAAAGTCAAATTTCTGGAAGTCATCAAGCCCTTCTGTGTCATCCTGCCGGAAATCCAGAAGCCGGAGAGGAAGGTGAGTTCCCCAAACCCCCCGGCAGAGAGGACGTCGTGAAACTGTCTGGGCTTGAAGTTTACAAGACAATTAAAAATGGCCTCAAGACGCCAAATGGAAACTCTCGCCCTTCGCCTCCCCCAGGGGTGCTGCTCCTGGGGTCCCCCTGAGCTTTGTCGAAGGTGACCTGGTTCTGTGGGAATTTCCGACGAAATCATCGTGCTTTGTTTGGAGCATCATTTGTGCATGTTACTCTGGTGACCCCAACCTTTTCTGCCCCGTCCCAAATATGGATCCTTGCCTGGGTGAATAAGGCCTCAAAAGCCTTTTGGGAGACTCGGATTGAATTACCTTTCCTTCTTCACCTCCAGCAGGAGCATATCACATGTTGTTTTTTTCCTAGGAGATGTTCTTTGTATCCAGCTGCTAAAAGGAGCTAAGAGCAGACTCTTATTCTGTACAATTGAGTTTGTACCCTTTGTGTAGGCTGTCATGCTCCTAAGAATTAGGGCATTTTGTGGACCTGGCTTTTAGAGCAGCCACATTAAATATTGGAAAAATAGAAATGCAGCGCTATGTTGAATCTTTATTAGAATTTCTGGGGTGAGATAGTGTCACCATGTGAGTAAAGCTATTAGATAATGAAGGAAAGTTTCTTTGGATTCTTGTTGTGTTAAAGACAATGATTAGTAAAATATATTTGTCTTTATATTCAAAATATCGTTTGTACATTCACATGTGTATGTGTACTGGACATCAGCATGGACACGCGGGATCTTGGAGTTTACTGTTTTTTTCTTTTTATTTAAAGTCCTTTTGTATAGATATCTCATATATGGTGCTACCTTTGATGAGTTGTCTTGCAAAACTCTCCACCCACTCCACCCACTGTAGTAAAAAGGGCAGGCTCTGGAGTTGGGCAAACCTGAGTTCCACCCTTCTCACAACCTTATAGCTATGTGATCTTGACCATGTAACTAAGCATGGTAGTGGAAGCAGTGGCTCAGGGTGGGAATGACTACATGTGATATATGATGGTGATTTTGAAGAAGAGTAGAAATTTCTTGAGGGGAATTTTGGGCATAAGGAACATGTATGCATGCAGAGTGCAGCGCAAAGAAGACAAGCAGGTGGGAGAGTGTTCAGAGTTGTTCAGAATTGGTAGGTTGTTAAGGGTAGGTGGGGAGCAATAGGATCCAGACAGATTTGCAAATTGCTTTGGAAGTAGGCTAGAGGAGAGTGGCCTAGAGACTTGCTCTAGAGAGGGAACTCTGGGAGTGAGCTAAGAAACAGGGGTTCAGGCACTATTTAAGTAGAATGGGGGGGACTTGGTTAGAGAGCTCTGGGAGTTTTGCTGTTGAGTTTGGTGGATCTAGGAGAGGAGATCGGTTATTTAAGATCGCGGTATCTTGTGGAAATTCCCCCCTCTTTCCCCCCATAAAGAATCAATAAAAGCTTGTTAGTTTAGTGGTTAGCCTGAAGTGGTGTTGCCTTCCCTTGGCCTCTTACTTTCTGGTGTGGTGAGGGGAGATGATAGATGAGGAGGGGTGCGTTCTCACAGAGGTGGGACGGGCTCTCGGCACTTCCTCTGTAAGTGTGGGCTTCACTGGCCTGCTTTAGCTCGATGGGGAAGATAAGTGCTGTGATCTCAGGTGGACTGTCTGGATGCTGAATTCCCCTCACCTCTGTGTGATTGTCTAGTGGCCACCTAAAGCAGGAGACTTGGGGAACTGCAACTTCTGTTCCGATCAGGGAGCCAGCCCCAACTCTCTGCTTCCTTAAACTTCTTTTCCCCTCAAATTAAAAAGCATTATTTTTTTCACACCAACATTCCTGGCAGTTGTGACTCAATACCTTCTATCATTTTCTTTTCCCCCTAAGCACGAGTTCCACTTAGGCACTTGAGCACCTCTAACGTGTGTGAGACGCAGGGTAAACACTGTAGCCCAAGACGGTTTCAGAGGCGGGAAGACCCAGTGATTCCCCATTCCCACTTCTTGGTATCCGCGGGGCCTTGCGGGGGAAAGGGCCCCCAAACTTCTCAGGTGATGTTTATTCCTCATGTCCAAAATGATTCCAAATAATCATCTGTCTGCTTACACACTGACAGCGTGTGGAGAGTAAGCTGAAAGGTGCTTGCAGTGGTTAGGGAATCAGTTAAACATGCAGCTGTCCTGCCTTCCCCAGGCTATTACACAGTTACCTTGTGTTACCCTTAATTCACAGACAACACACGACTAAATAATTAAAAATTCTAAATTAGTTGACTTCAGAATAACAACGACTTTGTCAACTAGGAAACCCTTTTGAATAAAAGTGAAAGTGACTCGGATGTTACGGTTGTCTAGTGCAGTGGTTTTTTCCCTTGGGTCTAGTCCTGAAGTGTTAATGCGCGTAGTCAAGAGCACACGCTTTGGACTGAGATTCATTTCAGCTGTGGGATTTGAGACAAAGACTTAATTTTCTCAGAGAAAAATAAAAGTGATACTATGTGGTACAAGGATGAAATGAGGTGATGTCTGTAAAGACCTTTGCGTGTGCGCGTGTGCATAGAAAGCATGCAGCGCAGGTACTGATGGGTGGTGTGGGGTTGGGATTTACAGGGTTGGGATTTTCAAGGTTGGCTTCTCTGGCAAACTGGGAAAAAAAAACTACTCTGATTTAAAGTCCATTTCTGTTGATTTACTTATGACAATAATGTGTTCTCTTCTTCGATAGATTCAGTTTAAGGAGAAGGTGCTGTGGACTGCTATCACCCTCTTTATCTTCTTAGTATGCTGTCAGGTAAGCACAGGCTTTGTGTTCTAGTCTCTTGCGTGGGGATGCGAGTGGGCTGGAGACAGGCGCGGTAACTCTTTCTCACTGCTTGTTTCCAGATCCCCCTGTTTGGTATCATGTCTTCCGATTCAGCTGACCCTTTCTACTGGATAAGAGTGATTCTAGCCTCTAACAGAGGTAGGACTGGCTCTCTGCACTTCCTCTGTATGGTGTGGGCTTACCTGGCCTGCTTTAGTTTAACTGCAGGCTTTGGCTTTATGTGGCATTTTGAGAGTGGTTAGGAAGAGAGTGTGCTGTGCTGAATAGCCTTGCACATGCTGGATTCAGCCCTAAGGTATATTATCATATTCAGAACTGCATTTGAATGCAGTAGAAAACTCCTAATAACGAGATAAGTCTACATCACAGAGAATTTAAAAAATACATGGAAAACTAGAAAGCTTTTTAAACAACTGAAATGATGGCATTTCTACCCGTATTCCTCCGGTTTTGATAACATTCTTTAAAATATGTAATTTACTTCCCAGCTGTATCTTTTTCATATCTATAGGTTATATATACATGCGTGTGTGTCCAAAAATACCTAACAGTGTTTTGTATACCCTAGTTTTGGAGGGGGTAGGGAATGGAAGGGAGGGAGGTGGAGGTGGGTGTTTTAATGTTTATAGTGATGCTGCTTTCGATTAACTCATTTTTAAAAGATAATTCGAATGAAGTTCCAAATCAGGTGGAAATATAGCTCATTTTAGCATAATGGAAGTAGAGGTTTATTCACAACTAGATAGAATTGTACAGACCTTCTTTCCAGACTCTGGAAATTATCGGAATGTTATCCTTTTTGACTGATGAAGAGAGGAAACTTTCTTATCTCTCTAAAACCAGGATGAATCTGTTTATGGTGAATTTAAATGCAGCAGTCTGTTTAAACATCATGTGACCTCCTAAACAGTGATGTTGCCTGGCAGACTGAGCAGAATGAATTGAATTAGACTCTAATCATTGATATTTGAGGGTTATCCTCTAAGTTAAATGCTGCTAGCAAACTGAAACATACTGGGTTTGTATAAAAGGGAACAAATTTCGCTCATTCAGCTTCTTACTAATGTTCTACTTTTCCAAGCTAACAGTGGCTGTGTTTTGCCTCCCCCTTTCCCCTAGGCACGTTGATGGAGCTGGGTATCTCTCCCATTGTCACCTCTGGCCTCATCATGCAGCTCTTGGCTGGCGCCAAGATAATTGAAGTTGGTGACACCCCAAAAGACCGAGCCCTCTTCAACGGAGCCCAAAAATGTGAGATTCTGAATACTTTTCAAATGTCTGTGTTTGAGAATTTGAATTTGTGGGGTGTCAAAACAGTTTTTGTTTGTACAGTGTAACCCTCTCGGCCTGTTTTAGCAAGAAAGCACTTCAGGGAGAGTTAGTGCAAGACCTTTTGGGTGGATTAGGTGAGGCTGGGGGGGCGGGGAAGGGGTGTCAAGTGCTCCTGAGACTGTGAGATTGAGTGTTAAGATGCAGGGCTTGGAAGGCTTCCCTTCCTCTGGCTACAGTTTCTCACCTCTCGGAAGGAGGTGATAGCTACTTCAGAGTCATCATAAGAGTTTGACTGGGTAACATGTGAGACATCAGAGCGCCTGGCACAGGGTATCTATCTGGCATAGATACCTTAAAAGGATTCCATCTAGGAGGTTGGTGAGCCTCTCAGCCCAGCTCTACTATTTACTAGCTCTGTGACTTGGGACAAAATTAGACAGCAGCTGTTATGGCCATGTTTCTTTGTCTGTAAAAATGGGGATAACAGGGCCTCCCTGGTGGCACAAGATGGTAGTTGGCGCAGGAACTATCCATAGCCCAAGCCAGCTGCCTAGTCCAGGCGCTACAAGTTGGCAACATCACCAAATTGTGTGCCCCGCACGTTGTCTTCAATAAGTTTTACTCCCTGACTCACCTTTCATAAGAACCAGATTTGTCTTCCTTCAACCCTTTGCCTCCTCGCATCACTGAAAGGAAAGTGAGTTTAGAAGGTGAAGCTAGAGAGCCAGGCACTCCTGTTGCGGGGCGTTGGATTAGCAGATGCTCTGGCAGAAGCAGCTGTTGGGTCTTTCCTGGACCGAGTTCCTTGGGGGCAGGAATGGGGGCAGTCATATTTTCTTCCCCATGAGCACATTTGTGAGCATATCATCCTTGCGCTTGCTGATGCAGAGCAGGTGTTCCCTGCTTCCTCGCTGACGGCAGCGTCCCACATTAAAAACACAACTTTCTTTTCCTTTCTAGTGTTTGGAATGATCATTACCATCGGCCAGTCTATCGTGTATGTGATGACAGGAATGTACGGGGATCCTTCTGAAATGGGTGCTGGAATCTGCCTGTTAATCACGATACAGGTAATTGCCTGATGACACCCCCTTCTAAGTTGTCCTCATACCTACTCATACTTCCCAGATAACTAATCTGAGCCATATATAAAGAAATGTTTTCTGAGAAGAAGCCAGAGCCCATGTGTTGGCCCGTCTGAATTCATCAGAGGGAGGCCCTACTGACGGATGCTCATTATCAGGAAAGCCAGCTGCTGTAGAAAGAAACCCTGCCGTGGGCACAGTCATTCATGGTCTATTTGGTTTCCTTTGCATATATATTTTAATTTTTACAGCTCTTTGTTGCTGGCTTAATTGTCCTACTTTTGGATGAACTTCTGCAAAAAGGATACGGCCTGGGCTCTGGTATCTCCCTCTTCATCGCCACGAACATTTGCGAGACCATCGTGTGGAAGGCGTTCAGCCCCACCACTGTCAACACTGGCCGAGGTGAGGACCCCGGCTTCCCTTGGGACTGGGTGCAATGAAAAGTAATGTGTACAAAGCAGAAGGCAGAAGTGTCCCCATTCCAAGGAAAAATGACCTATTTTTAGGTACAGCTCCTGATTTCTGTGCATCTCGGGGTTTTTGAAAAACAGAGGAGCTTATGCTCATCGTGATACGTAACTTTGTGTTTTCACATACAAGTATCTCACAGGCGTTGGCCCTACCAGAATATAGAGTCCGACTTCATTTTCTTAGCACAGCATGAAGGACTTCCACTGCAAGGAAGATCCTCAGTTATTTTAACCGGTCTTTTTTTAGTGGACATTTAGGCTGTTTGCAGTTTTTTGTTGTTACTACAATAGTGAAACAGCAAATATTCTTGTACGTGCATCTGGTGCACGTGGCCATACAAGGGGCAACTTTGTGAAAGAGGCCTGAACTTGGAGCTCTCCTTGGTAGTGGCTTCGGGCATATTTCTCTACCTCTGAGCCTTTGCTGTCAGGATTGAATGGGAAATACCACAGGATGTTTGTGATGCCTGACTCCTAGTAGCTGCCTATCAAACGTTAGTGTTCTGCGTTCTATCCCAGAAGAGTGCCAAGACACTCTTGTTACAGGGGATTTTTTTGATAACCGTTACCAAATATACAAGGGAACCTGAATTGACTAGGAAAGAGAAACCAACTTTTTAAAAAAAAAAAAAATCACTAAATATGCTACTGACTCAGAGTCCCATGAGAAATATCTGTGCACATTTGAGTATTTTCCTTGAACTGAATGCTGGAAACAGGGTCCCTGGCCTCCAGCGACCGTACAATCTCATTAGTGAGGCTGAAAATAGGTCCCCGGACAAATGAAGGCCACATGTGCCCACCAGATTACAGAGGAGTGTAGTGTGAGGCCGGAGGTGTCAAGGAGCATCAGAGAAGAGTGGGCAAGAGCCAATTTGATCTTCCCTCAGCACTTCCTGAAAGTCCAAGCAAATTGGACACCAGAGGGCAGAAGGCAGGGCTTTTCAGGGATGGATTAAAAAGGCAGACAGATGAAGGGATAAGAGTTCAGGTATGTGGCAAGACTGTTACCGGAACTGGCCTGGAGGACAAACCTAAGGCACGAGAAAATGATCCTGGTATAGACCCAGGAAGGGGTGGTCAGCAAAGGTCAAGGAACCACACTGCGTTCAGAAGCAGGTCAGGGAGGCGGTGGGAACCAGGGCTTGAGAGGAACAATTCAACCCGGACTGGCGGGGAAAACAGGCAGAGCTTGCAGCGGTGAACTGTTGCGGTGGTCAGCTTTGACAAGCTAGCCTGTTTGAAAAGGAAAACAGTGAGTGAGGTGCTAAGGAGAATGCAAGAGACAGACAGGTTCTTGATTTCAAGAGCGATGGATAATTGAGAGGCACAGGTGAGTCTTTTTCTCACTTTGAGTAAGAACGTTATGATGTCAGCGGGAACATTTGGGACCTGCAGAAGGTGCATCTGGGAAGGTGATTCTGCAGCCCTGTGTGTGGGCTCCAAGCACCATGCTTGCTGAGGACTGAAGGCAGAGAGAGAAGGATGGTTCACCAGGACTGGACCCTGGAGGACAGAGGTCACAAAAGTCACAGGGCTTTGAAGGCAGCCTGGCACCTACATCTGGGACTCTGCTATGACTTAGCTTGGTGACAGGGAAATACATTGCCAGCTGAGCCCTCCCAGGTCGGAGATCAATCATTGCTGCTACCCTGGGCAAGTGGAAAGAGGCCACCAGGATTAGCAGGGACAATGCAGGTACAAAGCAGCTTTTGTTCCTGAAATAACACTTATCTTACTCCAAGAGATTCAACGCCACTACATTTCAAGAAATAATTTTGTTAAAAATTAGGAGAATTAGTTCTAACCCTGACATTGCCTTTCATTCTGCAATATTTATCAGGTACTTGTGAAAGGCTCAGCACTATCCTAGACACTGGGAATACAAAGTAGTGATTTGTGTGTTACAACAGTGCCGGGTCGGGCATCCCTGCAGACACCCTGGAGGAAACAAGGCAAGGGAATATGGGAATAGGGGGTTATCACAGGGCTAGTCTGGGTAATCAAGGAAGGCCTTGAACAAAGTCCTACAAACAGATGAGAGCCACATGACTGTTTTGGCCCAACCCAGCAGGTGCAGAGGCCTTAAGGGAATGACCTCAGGTTTTTCTAGAACTGTGTGTGGCTGGAACAGAATGAACAAGGGGAGCATAATCGAAGCTGAGATCTCAGAGGTAGTGGAAGTTGTTGAGGGGACAGAGTGAGCGAGTTCCTTCCTGTCTGAGCAGCCCAAACTATAAGGCTGTCCTGGCTCCAACCTTCAGGTCCCTGAATTCCTTACACTGGGGGGATAGACCAGCGCTGTCCCATGACGGGTGCCCACTCTTGCTCTCTTCCTTCATTCCCTCAGTAAGCTGGCTCTGTGTCCTGGCTGTGTATTCCTGGCCCTCCTCCCTCCTCAGCATCCTCTCACACAGGGTAAACTCCAGTTTGGCTCGGGCCATGTGCTGGGCACACATGTTGTCCTTTGTGCTTGACCCTCAGTGTAGGAGCAGCCAGCCGAGCCCCACTTTGTCAGGGCAGCCTGCACTCAGAGCTGCTGAGCTGCACTCAGCCTGCTGCCTGGGGTGTTCCACGGAAGTAGATTTGGAGGTTCCGAGCCCCCTCTGTAGTTGATCTTCTTTCCAGGCATCTGGTGGCCATTGGCTCACCTATGCCAAAGAAAGGAGATGAGTTGATTTAAAAAGTAGAGCAGTCCATTTCTGGAATCTCTAAGAAGAAATAGAAACAAGGAATGAGATTGTATCCCTATGATTATAGGAGTAGGCACGTGAGACGCATCACCAATTCTGTCTTCCTCTCTTTTAGCCACTGGAAGCTTAGAGCCAAATTTAGTTGCTTGTTTGTTCCTTTACCACATGTCCCCTTCCTCGCCCACAGGAATGGAATTTGAAGGCGCCATCATCGCCCTGTTCCATCTCCTGGCCACACGCACCGACAAGGTCCGCGCCCTCCGGGAGGCCTTCTACCGCCAGAACCTGCCCAACCTCATGAATCTGATCGCCACCATCTTCGTCTTCGCAGTGGTCATTTACTTCCAGGTGCGTCCAGGTCCAGCCACAAGATGTTGGATGATCTGGATTTCAGCTTCAGAGTGTGCGTCCCCCCATGCCCCACGGGGATGTGCTTGTCATTGTATTGCTTTGAGCTGATGAGGTGGCATTTGAAGAGAGCAGGTTTCCATGTGAGTGGACAGGAGTGTTCCACTGGGTCACTAACCTGAGCTAAACAAACCTGAGGCAGATATAGTGTTTCTGAAATTGTGTTTCTTTGGATTGGCTTATCAGCAGATAAAAATATATTTTTAGTTTAAGGGAAGTGGAGAGTAATCGAACTGTAAAACCTAACCACTGTCTTACCCAAGGTTGTGGAGTATGTGTAGAGCTGTTGCCTGCTTGGAGAAGGCCCTTCTCTTGAGAGCTCTTGGCTTCCAGATCACTTGGCTGTGTGACTTGCTTTAGAAAAGGAGACCTGAACTGCTGGCTGCTCTGAGTGGCTGGACAGAGCTTTGCCTTCTTGATCATCCACTTTGTATCTGATTGAAACGGAGGGGGAGCAGTTGGAGAAGGCAGCTTAATGAATTGATGAAAGGGTGTCTATCCCAGCTCAGCGCTTTTCCTGAGCTCCAGGCAGTCTGCCCCCTCGGCTAAGACTTTTGCTAGGTTCCCGATTAATACAAGCTGGTGCGTTAAGACTTGGCAGGTATTTACAGTTGGATTATTAAGAATTGGCTTTATCCTCGGTATTCTGAGACCTGTTCTAGGCACTGAGAATTTGTAAAAATAATAGAAAAGAAACCTTTTCTACAGCGTTTCAGCGGAAAAGATGATGTTTCTAGAAAAGCTTAGTGTTTCTAATTAAAAATACCCAAAAGGGCATTTGAGGGGGCTGAGGCGGACGCCACAGTGACCTGCTCTCCCAGCCACGGTAAAAGCACCAGAGCCCACCACTGGAGAGAATAAGAGTTGCCATGGGCACGTGTGCTCAGCCTTCCTGTATGTCCACGGAGATGCAGTCATGTGCTGGACTTTGTCTTGTGACAGTATGGGGGTCCTTCCAGAGCTGTGCTTTGGTACATCTTCCAGCCAGTCTTTCTGGGAGCCTTCTGTTCACATGTCCCCAAGTGCAGTGGTGGGGATGGAAGGCAGGAGAGCCCTGGCCTGATGCTTGGGCTGCTCCCTCGCGACGGACCTGGCTGCCCCTGCCGGACTGAGGTGGTGAAGGGGGTTTTTCCTCTTTGGCTTTGCAGGGCTTCCGAGTGGACCTGCCCATCAAGTCTGCCCGTTACCGAGGCCAGTACAACACCTACCCGATCAAGCTCTTTTACACCTCCAACATCCCCATCATCCTGCAGTCAGCCCTGGTGTCCAACCTGTACGTCATCTCCCAGATGCTGTCTGCCCGCTTCAGTGGCAACCTGCTTGTCAGCCTGCTGGGCACCTGGTCGGTAAGTACAGCTGCTGTCACAAGCCGTGTAGGCTGTTGTGCTCTGGCAGGTTGTGCTGGTGTGGTCTGCATGTGGTCCTCTATTTCACCTAGAGAGACTTCCTGATTGTACCTTTTACCTGTTCAGCACATTAATTTTTTTTTTTTTTCTGGTGAGAAAACTTACTTGAGCAAAATCATATTCTTTTTCATCTATCAGACTGTTTTTTTGTTTGATGCTAAGGGATGATGACTCAGCACTTACGGCCCTCTCTGTTCTTCTCAGGATACTTCTTCCGGGGGCCCAGCCCGTGCTTATCCTGTTGGTGGCCTTTGCTATTACCTGTCCCCTCCAGAGTCTTTCGGCTCCGTGCTAGAAGATCCCGTCCACGCTGTCGTGTACATAGTGTTCATGCTGGGCTCCTGCGCCTTCTTCTCCAAAACGTGGATTGAGGTCTCAGGCTCCTCGGCCAAAGATGTAAGTAGAATTACAGTTTCTAGCAAGGTAAGGAAAGTAGGAAACCGTAGTTCTCATCTGATCTGGTGGAAGGGGCCGCGACTTGTCAGCTCCTCCTGAGAAAGTGAATTCACACACCTCATCCCCATTGGGGTGCAGTGGTTAGTGCTCGGCTGGGAAGCTGGAGCCACACTGAAACCAGCCTGCCTTGTGACTCTGCTGCAGCAGTTCTGAAGTAAGCAACGTAGCTATTGTTAGGCGCTAGTCATTGTGCGCTTAGGTCATTTCCACCACAAAATATCTATCTTCCCTTTGCTTCCAATTAAGCATTTAACATTGTCTTCTCCATGAACATCACATAGGTTGCAAAGCAGTTGAAGGAGCAGCAGATGGTGATGAGGGGCCACCGAGAGACTTCCATGGTGCATGAACTCAATCGGTGAGTGCTGGCTCCCAGCTTGGTTTTTGTGGTTTTCTTGTAGGTCAGACATCCTGGTACCCCTTTGGGATTTCTGGTTCATTAAATCTTATCCTTGAGGTAAGGATTAAAAAGTCCCTGTGTCTTTAAATATTTATGAACTTGCCAGGTGCTGGACACTGGAGACATAATAAAAAGACAAACACATACAGCCCTTGTCCTCAAAGAGGAGACAGAAGTTTGTGGCCCAAGGGTTCTGAGGTGGTATGGTGAGGATATGAGCCAGGAGGCCCCAAGGAGCGAGCCCTCACCTCTGCAGGGGCAGGCAGGATGCTTCTGGGAGGCAGGTCAGGCATCCTCAGGCTGGTGGCCTGTGAGCTCAGAGTGGGCAAGGGTTGGTTCTGGGTGCAAATGATGCCACGTTGGAGGGAAGCTGCTGGGAATGGACAGAGCTCGTGGTCCCTTTAAAGTCGGCGCTGGAGACTGAGACCTACCTAGAAGGAGCAGGAATTGCTGTGTGAATCTGGGCAGAGGTGGGGGCTCGGGTGCAGCTGAGGGACACTGAGGAGGAGCTGGCCATAGCCCTTGGTGACCAGCTGGGTCTGGGGGAGCAGGGAAGCAGAAGTTTAGTGTAACCTTTGGGGTGCTTTCCCAGCACGTTGCAGTCTGTGCCCCCTTTTTCATTTAGAATAGAGTTGCCTCTTGGGCAGCAGGGTTGGAAGTAGTGTCTTAGGCTTCTCGAGCCACATAGTTTGTCATAACTGTCCATCTCTTCTGTGGGCTCTTGAAAGCAGCCAGGGCGGCATGTGCACGAGTAGGCGTGACTGTCCCTCTAAGTGGGGGCAGAGCCGGCTTGTCCCTGGACCACAGCTCACTGCACAAGAACAGCCCCAGGATGAGTTGTTGAAGCACATTTTAGAACATTTTCCACCCTCGCGAGGGAGCTGGGCAGTTTCACTCATTCTCTCCAGAAGAATCCTCTGAAGCCGCTGAACTTATGGTCTGTTCAGTAGAGTGAACCAGGAAATGGTGACTTTCCCAGTGGCCGCATTCAAAAAGTAAAAAGATGCACCTAAAATTAATACAATGTTATGCATTAGCTATACCTTAACAAAAAGGGGGGGAAAAGCAGGTGAAATTAATTTTAGTGATATATTTAACCTAACAATTATAAGCAGAACAGCAGCAGTATATGCAGGATAACATATTAACACAAGAAAGATCATGTGATATTTTGCTTTCCTGACTTCAGAATCTCACTTGCTTTTTTCCACATCTTGGTTTGGCCTAGCCACATGAGGCTCTTGTGGCCATGAACTGGACAGACTGCCCTAGTCGAGACCGTTAGTGTGAGAGGGTAAAATTCTGCGGGAGAGTGGAGTGCCCTCTAAAGGAGTGAGGTCCCTGAGGCGGAGGAAGCAGGCGGACTGCCCCGCCCCTCCCTGTGACTGGGCCAGGCGGGCACGTAGCTGACACGTCTCCTGCTCCCCAGGTACATCCCCACCGCCGCGGCCTTCGGTGGACTCTGCATCGGGGCCCTCTCCGTCCTGGCTGACTTCCTGGGCGCCATCGGTTCGGGAACTGGGATCCTGCTCGCCGTCACCATCATCTACCAGTACTTTGAAATCTTCGTCAAGGAGCAGAGCGAGGTCGGCAGCATGGGGGCCCTTCTGTTCTGAGCCGCGTCCACCCAGGACCAGGGAGTGGAATTGCTGAGGAAGGGGGAACAAGACACCTCACTGTGGGCGCGCTCAGGCAAGGGCGTGCTGCTTTGGCATGTGGACTTTTGTTTCATAATGTTTTTGAATTTCATATTCTTTCATTCCACTTTGTAAAGTGCTGGAAATTTTCCAATTTGAGATTTTGCTTTTTATTCTGGCATTGGCAAAAGAACTGTAGCGAGGTTGGTTCGGCTGACTGCCGGCGGTGGGGATGGTGAACGATGATCCCCGAGCATCCACGTAACTTTTGTTTTAACCTTTGCACCTTCTCAGTGCTGTGGGCGGCTGCCGTGGTCTCAGCTGTTCACCCACGAAGGGACTTGTTGGTTAGAAGCACAAACGATTTTGATATCTCTCCATGTGGCTGTGGCGGGCGGCGTGAGGCCAGGGGCACATCGTGTGACTCTTGGTGGACGAGGGCGACTCACGTGAGTCCCCTTCACCATCAGGGTTAGGGGCATCTGGCTTAAAATTGTTTCTCTGGAAGACGTAGATGTTTTCTCTTCTGAAAGTAGTGTTTTGGGCAGAGCTTCTTCCAAATGAGAGGGCTGCACTTCCCAGAGACACTCCTGGGCCACCTGTGAATTTTTCTGCGTGTGCCTGTTGGCGTTTCCCGTCGACTGTTTCAGTCAGGCTTCGAGGCTGAGAAGAAAGCGTTGGCTGGGCTCTGCCCTCTCTGTCTTCAGTTAGCTTGTGTCTGGTGGGGGGAGGTCGGGAATTGTCTGCCCTCCGAAGTTGTGCCTGGTCGGGTCAGGCAGGCAGAGAGGACGTGAAGGGATACCCGTCTCTTCGCTTCTCCCCATCGCCGCCCAGCCGGCCTCCCTGTGGGTCACTCGCGCCTCCACTGGCCCCTGACTGGGGCTCCACGGCAGGGCCTCGCAGGCGACATCTCAGCTCACAGGCCGCCGCTCCTGTAGGATGACGGCTTCCACTCATATTTTTAGGACTTTTTTATTGTACTTAGGACCAAATGCGAGTAAGTAAATGACAAGATGCCACTGATCTCTCAACTTCCACCAGAAGAGGGGGCCGCAGGCCTGAGATCTGTGGTGAAATCAGGGTTAGAGAGCATGGTTTTTGGTAAGTTGCTCCAGTGTTTGATATAAAAAGACTTCACAATTATGACTAAAATAAATTCTGTTCAAAAGAACAGGTGATTAGATCTTAGGACTTGAAACCTCTAAGGCCTTTAGCGAGACTGCCTGCAGGGTTCTCGCTGGAGCCGGGTTTGGGGGTGAGTGTGGCCCGTGGAGAGAGGTTCCCCACCAGCAGCGGGCACACAGTGGCCTTGAAGCACAGAGCCATGGTCACATCCATAGAGGTGCCAAGTCAGGCCCTCTCTGAGTCAGGAGGGTGCTCCCAGGAGACCTCACTGGCAGTGCTAACCAGGAAGCAGACCAACCAAGGGACAAGAAGCGACTTGCCTAAAGCTACCCGGCCAGTCAGCAGCAGAACCAGGCTGGGCCTGGGGAGTCTGGGCGCACAGCCCGGGGATACCACCACATCACGCGTGGCCTTGTCAGACCCAGTCCTGCGCAGAGACCTGAGCCTCCCCCACCACGCCGTCTGCCCGGCCCTCCCGTGGCTGGGACATCTCAGCCCTGGGCAGGCAGGGCATCCTCCCCAGGCTCCTGGGCCCACTGGCAGTCTGTGCCCTTCAGCGGGGCCCTGTGCGGCTTGGGCTGTGATCAGTGATCACACGGTGGGGGCTGAGCTCGGCTTCCAGGGGACTGTCACTGTGGACGCCAAAATGGCATAACTGAGATAAGGTGAATAAGTGACAAATAAAGCCAACTTTTTACAAGCCAGTCGGTCCTGTTCTCTTGGTTTTCAGTCCCCTTTTGTTCGGAAGGAGAAGGTGAGAGAAGCCCGGGTGCCCTTCGGTGCAGGTGACGTTGGCCGGCTCCCTGCACGGACGTCCTCTCCGCAGTTTGCCTGGAAAGGTGTCCTCGGGTGCTGTCAGCTGCGTGCTCGGATAAAGTGAAGTGCAGGAGCCTGGGCACATGTCCTGGTGGGGTGCCCCTCGGTGGCAGTGCCCACCTCACTCCCCTGCCCCCAAGCCCTCTGGGTCTCCCCATCTCCCTGCTCGAGAGCTTTTGGCCAGAACACCTGAACACCCCTTCTTTCCATTCCACAAACATGACGTTACTGAACCCCTGTGGGGCACGTAGACTAATAGCTGCTGCTTCCCTCGGAAAGCTCATGCCTCAGCAGTAGGGCTCTGAGGCACCTACCAAGCCACTGGACCTTTTTTCAAAGTCCCTTGTGCCTAGGGACTACTATTTATCCTGCAAAGCCAGTAAAGACATTTAAATTCCCATCAGAAGGGGGCTGGTAGCAAGTTCCTCCTGTGGAGGCTAAAAAAAAAAAAAGACACCATGGGAAAAAGCTCTAGCAATTTCTCACGAAACTAAACATACCTACCCTGCGTGTAGCTACTCCACTCCTGGTCCTTACCCAAGAGGAATAAAAATAGATGCCTGCACAGAGATGGGGAATGTTCCCTGACGCCTATTCATAGCAGCCGAGAAGTAGACACAGCCCAGGGGGTCATCGGCAGTTGTGAGGATGAGTAGATGGGGGGACCCCCTGTAATAGCACCCTACACAGCAATCAAAAAAGCAAGTGCAAAGACACATCACAGGCACCTGGGTCTCAAAGCGCAGATCACACCATCTGAAGGGAACTCAAGGGACCCGTCACCAAAACAGCATGTGATCCCGTTTCTGTGAAGTTCCGAAGCAGGCAAAGCATAATTGACAAGAGCCCAAAACTGTCGCCTCTGCTGTTGCAGGTTGGTGGGTAAGAGGCACATCTGTGACAGGCGTTTGGGTTTCACTTGCTGCAGCTCATGGAATGCTCAGGTTAGGGCCTGCAGGGGAAAAAAAATAAAAAAAACTCATGGAATAACCCCCCAGGACAGTGTATGTCCCTGTGCGCAAATTCAACCTTTAAAAAGCACAAATGTCGAGCACGAGATAATTGAACAGATGCTGAAGAATTTGGGGATGAAGTGTACTGACGTCCACAACTTGAAATGCATGAGAGACAGACGCACCGATGGGAGAAAGGAGGGTGTGCCCTGGTGACGATACGGGGTTCCCCGGGCAGCCCCTCAACTTGCTTGAAATGCTCCACAGATGCACCCCGGGGCGCTCGGGGAGAGCGCCGCCCCCGGAAGGCAGGGGCGGGGAGTTGGGTCTGAGGGAGGAGACGAGATTCCTCACTGCGGACCCCCCTTTGTGGTTTTCACAGGAAGCTTCCCTGACGTTCGGCACGTGGGCGTTTGGAGACCCCCCTGCCCGGCCCGCCCTGGCCTCGGCGGCCCGCGGGGAGCAGCTGCGCGGCGGGCGTGTGGCCGCGCGGGGGCGCTGTGGCCTCGCCTCGCGGGCGCCGAGCAGCCGAGATCCGGGCTCGCGAGGACCCGGCCGCCCCGGGGGCCGCACGGCCCCTGACGCCCGGCCGCCCCGCGGGGAGCCCCAGCCTGCCCGGGCGGCCTCCTCAGCCCTCCCCTCGCTGGTGCGCGCCCCCTTCCGTCGCCCCGGGCCCTCGCGCGCCCGCCGGCCGCCCCCCTGCCGGGCCCTCTGCAGCCGGAGCCCCCGCGCCCCCTCAAAGCCCCGACCGGCTCCGCCCCGCGGGGCTGCGGGCGCCGGGCTGGCGGCTCCCCCGCGCCGGCGCCCCCGGGAAGCCGGGCCCTTTCCCGGCCGGCCTTTGTGCCGCGGCGCGGGCAGCTCGGGCTCCGGCGCGGGCTGGTCCCCAGAGTCGCCTGCGGGGGCACGAGCCGGGGCTGGCGCGGAGGTGCCCGGGGCGTCGGGGCCAGGGCGGGCGCGGGCGCGCGGGGACGGCGGGAGCGGGCGGAGCTGACGGCCGGGAGGCCGGGACCCTGGCGCGGGGACCGGCCCGGGGGGACGAGCACTTCAGCGGCGCCCCGCTCCGGGCAAGCCCCGCGCTTGCAGCCCAGTCGCGCCTGCGGGGCGCGGGCCCTGGCAACGTGGGCGCCGCTGCCACGTCTGAGCCCGGCGTCCTGGGTCCTGCCGGCCCCCGGCGCGCCCGCTGCGCCCGGCCCGCACCCCTCGGCGGCGTCGGGGCCCAGGGCGGGGCGCGGGGCGCGGGGCGCGGCCGGCCCGGCGGTGGCTTCTCCCCCCGCGCCCCGCTCCGGCTCCCGACCCGGCGCGCGCTCCAGGGCGGGGTCCGCGGCCCGCGCCCCGCGCCCTCCCCGCCGCTCCCCGCACCCCATTAATCACGCGGCCCTGACGGCGCCGATCCGCGGCGGGCGGCGGGGCGGGTGGCGGAGCGGGCCGTCGGCGGGCGCCCATCGCCGCATCTTATCGCGCCGGCCCAGCCGCCGCCCGCCGCGCGCCGCCCATTGATCGCGCGGGGCCGGGGCCGGGGGTCAGCGCGGGCCGGGCCGGCCTGACAGCCGCATCCATCGCCTCCCAGACGCGCGCGGACGGCGGCACGGGCGGCGCGGCCCGGCCATTAATCACCGCGCCCGCCGCCGAGTGACGGGAGGACCGACAGGGCCAGCGGCCGAGAGCAGCCCCCGCGCCTGGCCGCCCCCGCCCCCCGCCCCGCCCGCCCCGCCTGCGCCCCCTCCGGGGCCGTCCCCGCGTCCTGGGGAAGGGACCGGGGCCCACGTCTGGGGGGGGGGGCAGGTGTGAACGGATCAACAGCCGGGGACAGAGGGAAGACATTCTACCCCTCGGGGGGCCTGTTTCCCAGACATCAAAATGGAGGGCTAGTCTGGCCTGACAAATGTCACAGCTTGACGGGGGGTGCAGGGGTGGGGTACAGCCACGTCTCCCCTCTGGCTGCTCCAGCCCTGGCTGGGCCTCTCCTCATGGGAGGCCCCACAGGAAGTCCCTGCGCTGAGGGCAAACACCCAGGCCTTCACCAAGTCTCTCCTGGCTGCTGGAGCTCCTTGAGGCTGCGCTTCCCCCTCTGGATAAGCCCAGTGCAGAAAGGCCCAGCCACCAGGGCTCTCTAGACCCTTCCAAAGACCAGCAATCTGGGCTGGGGAGGGAGTAACCCATCCTACCTGTGACTACCATTGGACAAACTTGGACATCTTCCAAGGACAAGGACAAGGATTGGGAATTCTTCGCCGAATTTTAGATTTTCTAGTGCAAGTGCAGCCACAGGTGACCTCACCAAGTCCTCACCATCCACCTATGGAATATGATCTCCCGGCTCTGACAGCTGAGGAAACCAAGGCTCAAGGACCAGAAGGGACGAGCCCCATCAGGACCAAGGGCCAAACACTCAAAGCCACATCCCTGCCGCCGTGCCCCCTCAGTTCCGACCGCCCCGCTCCCAGCTGCCACCTCCACCCAGGCCCTGAGGACTCGGGCTTCGCAAGCAGCCCAGCTGCCCAGAGCAGGACTGGTCCTGGGAGAGCTGTGGAATGGTGGGTGACCAGTGTCCGGTGGCCCTGGGGTCTAAGACAGGGACATCAACCGGAAGTGTGCCCCCACTGTGCGGCTCCAATTTATTAGAAAAAGGGGTGAGGTTTGCTAACATGACACTTTCTGGTGAGTGTCATGTTTCGTCCAAAAAAACACAACAAAGTATCCTCAAACCAACCTGTGGGGTGCTCCCGAAGGGCTGTGGCAGGTGGAAAGACACCGGGGCTGAGCACGAGGGTCAGCTTCCCTGCTGGGCCGGGACCCGCCCTTCCAGGGCCCTTCCCACTCTCACAGCATTTCCAGGGCCATTAGCACAGGGACGGCGAGCTGGGATTTATGAACAAGCTTCCCTTCTCCTCCGCCACCCAATCGGCTGGCGAGGAGGCACCCAAGAGAGCCCGGGCCCAGAGCTGCCAAGATCCAGTCACCTCCGATGACCAGCCCCCACCCTGCCTCACTTTAATATTACAACAATTTTTCACGCCAGAGCTGAAATAGTGCAAAAAATGGGGCTGCTGTAATTGTTGTTAGATTGTGTGTCAGCCTGATAAGATGTAACAAATATTTTCCTCCCCACCAGGGTCTGTTTCCCTCTTGGTAATGGATGGAGAAACTTCTCATAGTCGGCGAGGGATGGGTCGTAAAAACTTCGCCTGGAAGATTAATGTAATAATCACAAGCCTTGCTGGAAAAAATAGGAGGAAAATTAAAATAACCCAACCATTGTACCTCTCCAGAACCACCGGCACAGAAGGTAGGGCGAGGTGGGTCACTCTCTGGGGACTACCTAGGCCAGGAGACCCGGCAGGCGGTGGCCATTCCCTCCACCCTCAGCGGGATGGCTCTGGAAATCAGGGTTCCCTGGGCATCTGGGATGGCCTCTGCCCCTGCTGCTTCTCTCTGGTTCCTCAATTGCTGGGAAAAGATTCAAGGCTGGAGAAGAGGTTCAGAGAGCTCAGGGCTTGGTTCTTAGACTCCAGATCAAGTCGTCTTCCTCACACCTTGCCCTGCTCTCAGTCAGATCCCGAAGGCGCCCGTCTACTGCTGCCTACCGACCCAGCAAGCGAGGAGGTGCTGAGTAGCAGGCGTTATGAGCACAGGCTCCAACCAGTGTGATTGCAAAGCTGGGTTGCTCTTTGTAGCCGGGCCTGTGACTCACTGTCCCGATTTCATCGGGCTACTGTGAGGTGGAAGGAGATGTGAAGCATCACAACCGCTCGTGCACAGTGCGCGCTTGCTCCACCCACTATCACTGTCTTTTCTGGCTTAAGGTGGGAGGCCAGGAGAGTGCGCAGGGCTTGGCCCCAACTTTGAGAAGCACCCCACCATCCCCCAGTGTCTGGCTCCCTTACCTCCCGAGTACCCTCTTGGTGGGAATCTCCCCTAGGGAAGAAGATCCGCTCTGACAGCAGGGACGAGCTGGGGCCTGGCCAGGGCCTGAGGGCTCCCAGAGGCTGCATGGGCCCCCATAGCACTATCTCGGCTCTCCTGCCTGCGGTTTCCTAGACGAACACAGGTGGGTACTCGGGGGAGGACAGCTGTGCCTGCCCGAAAAGCCCACCTTGGTTGGTGTCCTCTGCAGCCCGCACAGCACTGATGTCCTGCCCGTCTAGTACAAGGAGCTGTACCAAGGCACAGCCTCCCTGGCCAGGCCGCACCTCAGGCAGTACAGCTGGCAGGAAAAGAACAGGCCTGGCAGAGAGCAAGAATGTCGGGGCTTCCCCGGTGGCGCAGCGGTTGAGCGCTGGGTTGCGAAGCTGCCCGCAGCCTCTGCAGCGCTGGTTCAATCCCCGGCTGCTCCCCGGCCACTGGAGGAGGGTCCCACATGGCGCGCAGACCTCTCCTGCTGCCCGCTGCTCCCCTCAGCAGTGTACTTCGGTCCTTCTGCCTGCTCTGCTCCCCGCTCTGGCTCTGGTGAATTCTCTCACCCTCCCACGCTTCTGACTGTACCCAGTGCTTGTGTAAATAAATAAAAATAAATCTTTAAAAAAAAAAAAAAAAGAGAGAGAGCAAGAATGTCTTTCCCGTGCTGCCATTTCCTCTCCCTCTCAGTAGCCCTGAGAGACGTAGTCACAGTGATGGGGAGAGGCTGAAGGGACACGGGAGCCAATGGCAAGACCTCTCAGTGGTTCAGACTGGGCCAACTTGAGCAACAGACTCAATAAGATAGCTGAGTCCACAGCAACTCCACGAGCCAGAAGAGTTCCAAATGATTTACGTGGCTGCTCCGCCTTCAGATGGGCACGTTCCCCTGAAACATGGCTGGGCAGGGGCGCCTCCCCTGGAAAGTGGGGAGGAGAGACACCAGCCAGGCGGTCAAGGTCAGCACCAACTGTCGTATGGCACGTTGACAGCACATGACCCTGATGTGGCGTGATGGGAAGGAACTGCACCCCTGGGGTCTTCCTCCTAGCAACCCCACCTTAATCAGGAGAACAAGAATCAACAAGTCCCACTGAGGAATATTCCACAGAATCCCAAGCAGCTCCTCAAACTGTCCAGGTTGTTAAAACAAGGAAACTGACAGCTGAGAGGAACCGAAGGACAGAGGAGACTAATGCCAGGTGGCCTCCGGATGACGGCCTGAGCAGGAAAGTGACAATAAGGAGCTGAGGCAGCACCAGTGAGCTGAGTAGCACGGAGTAAGCTCAGCCCGGCTCACTGGCAGCGCACGGCACAAGTCTGTGGGTGCACTGCTGGTCTCGGGACTCCTCACTATCTTTATAGGACTTCTCTAAGTCAAAAACTGTCCTAAAATAGAAAATCTTTTATTATTATTATTATTTAAGGAGACCCTAACAAAATAACCTATGAAGAATTTATTAGAAAACTCGTCAGGTCAGTCCCTTCTGAGCAACCACAGGAGACACTCTGATAAGTAAAAGAACACTTCCCACCGGGCTGACGATGCTGCTGGCCACCCCCGAGTGGGGACAGAGCCCGGGGCCACCGCCTGCCGCAGGCTGGCACGCTGGCCAGTCTCTCCTCACAGAAAGGCCCTCGGCGCTCACTTCATGTACTTGTCCTGCTGGTCAGCCAGGATCTTGGCTGAGGACTTGGCATCATAGAAGAGCTCGCTGATCTCCTCCACGTGCTCCTTCTCGATGCTGTCCTTCCCATTGATCTTGGCGAGCAAGTTGGCCGGTGTCAGCAGCTGCACCGAGTACCTGGGGTAGATAGGCACCAGGAGTGAACAGGGACCACGGATGGGAGTCCCCTCCCAGATGGGCAGACGGCCGCACCCAGTGACAGCTGCTGCTGCTGCTGCTGCAGACACAGCAGGACAGGAGAGGGAGAGTGGCCACTGCTCAGTGCTGTGGTCACGCGCACCATGGGGCCAGAAATCAGTAGCATGGAGGTGCCACCTGCAATCTCTGGCAGTCTAAGTGCTCTCCCTGAGTAGGGACCACAAACTGAGACCCACAAGGTACCAGGCGGGGTCCTGCATGGTCCACATCAGGACACGGGCCTGGCAGGGAAATGAACGGCCCAAGGAGGGCACAGGCACCTGCCAAAGGCACAGCATGTGCGCGTTTGAAAAGCACCACTCTACCCAAAGCAGTTTGCCATTCCGCTTCCGCCTCAGAAGAGGAATGACGAAGGGAAATAGGGGGCTATCCAGTGAGGGCAGGACTTCACAAGGAGTCAGGACGCTGACAGTGCGCTCCTCCGGACAGCGGCTTCCAGCGTGGGTGACCCATGGCTGTACTTCTCTGCCACGCAGCCTGCACCTCGCTAGCACCCACCAGGTCTGGAAACAGCAGCCGGCGGCCCACCAGCGAGCAACCCGCCAGAGCCCGGTCCCTCCTCTCTCCACCAGCTCTGCTGAGAGGCCTGGCCTGGGTCAGCCATACTCCACCAGTGGGGAGCTACTCCCCAGACGGGGACCGACTGTCACGCTAGCTTTCCAGACACCATCCCCTCCACACAGTCTCTGAGTGACACAAGACCCATCACACCAGGTAAGGACAGGCATGGTCCTGTGCCCTGAGCCGGGACCTGCCTCGACGTCCCAGCCTGCATCTCAGCGCAGGGCGGGGGGCGGCTCACCTCAGCGTGGTCTTGGTGCCGATCTCCCCGAGGTGGTTCAGCGCCTCCTCACTGATGTTGATCCCCTCTGTCTGGGCTCGGATTTTAATAATCTTTTGGAGGCAAGAAAACAATCAGCAGTGTCACCCCAAGCACTTTTGTTCAGTGTTGCTCATCCCACGTAACAACAGCAGAGGCCCAATGCGGAGGTAGGGCAAGGCTGAGCCCCTGGGCGCCGGCCAATGAGTCCCAGGTGAGCCACCTTCCAGCTGTGCACCCTGGGGGTGCGCGTGCCAGGCCCAGCTCCCGCCTCCCAGCTCTGCGCGCTGCCCAAACTCGCCAGCTTCTTCAGGGGCGCGCGCCCTCCTTTCCAGCATGGGCACCGCCACTGCATACACTCGGGCAGCAAGAGACAATTTTTATTTGCTTGATAAATACAATGGTTAAATAAATCAAAAAAGTTACTTTTAAAGATTTACAGCCCTCAGAACATCACCGGGAGATATCTAATCTATCAAGGAGAGGCTGACGCTTGTTGCCGTTAGAAGATCCCGGTCAAGCTGAAGGGAGGCAGCTGGCGGCGGGGACGCAGGAGCGCGAGTGGCACCGGCTCCGCAGGCGCAGCAGCACTGAGTGATAAGGGGCAGCCGGGATAATGATGTTGTGTGTTGCGGAGCCGAGATAACTCGAGGACTTCGAGCCTCATATAATACAGGAATTTTTCACTTTGGCAGCTTCGTAAACAAGATATCAAGAAGCCCTTGTTTAAATTAAAGCCATAAAAACACACCCGAGGTAGAGGCGTAAGAAGTAGGGAAAACTGGCCCCAGCTAAAGCCTAAAGAGGAACAGGGAGCCTGGGGCTGGGAGGTGGACACCTCAGCTGGCCCCTCTGCTCTCAGGCACAGCCCCCGTGGGCAGGCGAGCAGGGGCAGGGAGTTCTGTGGTGCTGACTCTCAGGGGGCAGCATGTTGGCTGCTGTGACAGGGAAAGGCAGCCAGCATGCCTGTCCTGAGGAGTGAGTTGGGCTGAAGGGCGTGGGGCCGCAGCCACCAGTGCCATCAGGGCTGCCAGGCAGGTGTTAGCAGGAAGGTCTTCGATTTTGTCCAGAGACACAGAACTCATAGTTCTGAATGAAATGTCCTGATATCTAAACACCAGCAGATTATTCAAATATTTCACAGGCCATATAAACATCTGTTCAGCCAGGGGGCAGCCTGGGTGTGCAGGAGGGGTCCCACCATCTGGGGTCCAAAGCCAAATGTAGCCAAGCAGGGATGCTTCTGGATGGTCAGAAGAATAACAGGAAAGGAGCAGGTGGTCCCTGCTCCCCACTCCATCCACAGAAGTCCCCTTTGACCGTGACAGGCAGGGCCCACGGGTTTGTGCACTGCAAAGAAAGCTTCTCAGTGACAGTGGGGACTGAGAAAACATTCAGGTCCTGCCAAGAATAATGTCCAGGGGCCTTCTGAAACTCTAGGGAGATGCCAGGACTTAGCCCTGGAGCCCAGGCAGAGGGAGCACCATGCCTGAGCATGGAGCACAGCGAGCTGCCTAGAGGAAGGGCCGCCCCAGAGAGGTCAGGGATGCCGTGCTCACTCTCTCAGAGGGTCAGAGCCATCGGGAACCCTGCTTCAGACTCTTGGCAATGGGCCATGAATTAGATCTTTAATCATTTAATAACCTGCAGGGATGGTTTATGAGGGTGTCAGCACCGATGACAGAATATACAAGTTACAGTCACTTTTTTTTTAAACAAATCTACCCCAGGCCCCAGTGAAAGGTTATCCCTAGCACTGCCAGAACAAAACACCCCAAGTTCTGGCAGCGCCGTCCTTGGCTCAGCCTTGAAAAGCCTGCGGAGAGGGTTTCCTGGCTGACCCTGTCAGAAGTCACTGCTCTCGAGGCACAACACAGAACATTTTGGGGCAGCTAGTGGGCTCTGGGCCCAATGGAGGCAGCAGAGGTGAACTGGCTGAGTGGGGGCCCTAGCTCTGCAGCTTATTCTGTGACCATGAGACCCTCCTTCTTCCCAAGCCTCAAACTCGGGCTAGCATTGAAAGCTGCTGTAAGGGCCTCATGGAGCCTGTGAAGCCGCTGCAGGTCCTATCAGGAATAGTAACTGCAGGGGGCAGGCACGGCGGCCCCTGGTTATTGTGTAACTCAGCCTCCACCACAGCCTTGAAAGGAGGAGAAGATCATTCCTTGCACCAGAAGGCTGAGGCTCAGAGGCCTGCCAAACTGCATGAGTCCCTCGGCCATGAAGTGCTCTGACCGAGTGTGCGGGGCTTGCCACTCCCGAGGACACAGGACTCCAGTCCCAACAGTAAGGATGGCGGAGGGACCAATTTCCTCTTTGCTTCTGCTTCTTTTCAATGAATGCCTCGGCGTCAACCTAGCATTCATCCACAAGCAAGAGACCATTATCTGGTGACAAGGCCCCCAGCCATTGACACTATCTCCTAAATAATGCACGCAGTCCCCACTATGAACTATAAGTGCTTTGGTATCCTGTCAATGCTGGGTATGAAAGGAGAGCTCCACTCCACGCGTCACCATGGTGCTCCAGGGTGCTGGTTAATAAGAAATGTCGGCAAGGCCAGGCTGCACATGCCAGAGGTGAGCAGGGGGACTGCCGGGGAGGGCCCAGGAGAGGCCCTGAGAGCTCTAAAAGGACAAGCCCAGCAGATAAACTGCCCCCAGGAATCTAGCCACAACAGCGGTATTTCTAGCAGGTGGGAGGCTTGTGGACCAGTATGAAGAACTTGGGCTTCAGCACCAGACCACCTGGATTCCAGTCAATCAGCTGTCACCTACTGATCACCAACAAGCTTTATGAACTTGGACGAGCTTTAGGAATTAGTTAGCCTAAGTTTGATGTCCTCATCTTTGAGGATGACATGATAATAGCTCTCCCACCTCATGGGTCCTGGGGGTCAAATGGAATGTGGGCTAAGCATGTCCACAGGCTGGCACCGTGTCTTAAAAGAGGCACTATGCTCTTGTCCCAGGAGAGGGTCCAGGCAGAGGCCATGAAGAAGTCAGTCCACTCACTGACAAGGAGGCCATCTGAGCAAGAGGGGGTAGAGCGAAGAGCAGGATTCAAGACCCCTGGGTGACTCGCCCAAGGCTGCGGCTGAGGGTTGGGACGGGCAGTAAATGAGAGCCAAGCTCGATTCTTTGACACGTATCTGTAGAGCTGCCTGGAACACTGGAGCAAAAAGAGAGAAGAAAGCAAGGAGCGGGGAGGAGGCTCACCTGTTTCATTTCCTGCGGAGTGTACAACATGGTCCTGATGATCATCACCCGGTCCAGAAGGTCGAGAGGGATGCCATGGGGAGAGGTGATGTCCTCGGTGCCCCTGCAGGGCAGAATGGTCACATCACCCAGGCCTCTGACATCAACCTGGACACTGAACACAGCTGCGGTGCCCCCACGGCCAGGCAGCTAGTTCCCATCCCCAGTCAGAGCCAGGGCCAGTATCTTTCATGGCATCAAAGACAGCTTTAGCGAAGTTGTTTCAGCAAATATCAATACCACAGGAAATTTCAAGAAAAACAAACCTAAAATCATATTTTAAAATATTCTCCTAGATAACTTTCATGTACATATTTTTCAAATTATTTTAAGTACATAACTATCTTTGCTTTTCTCCATGTTCCTTCAGTTTTAATAACGCAAGCATTTTTACTAAACCCAAATTGTTGGGCAGTTAGGTAATTTCCAGTTGTTGCTACTATTATGAATGATGTCTGATGAACAGTTCTATGCACACAGCTGTGTGCATTTCCTCAGCCACTCTGGTGGTGCCTGGCACACCCTGAGCCTCTATTTGAATGAATGAATGTCCTCATTTACATGGCAACACGAGTGACCCGATCTCAGTGCACTACCAGGTATTCTATCAGCAAGTCTTAAATACTTTCCTGCCTTAATGGTTTGGAGAAAGGAAGGGTAACGAACACCTGGCTTGAATTTGCATTTCCTTGATTACTAATAAAGCACTGGAAGGCTTTCCTTTGTATGCATTACTATCCAATCATGACTGCCATCCCTTTTTCTCCTGAATCCTTAGCCAAGCCCAGTGGAGGAGCCCCACCACCCCACAGAACTGCAATGCACCAGGCTCCTGACAGAAAGTGAGCTGGGCAGACCTGGTGGCATGGGGGCCAGGCTTCAGCCGCCCAAAGGGCTGGGGCAGGAGCATCGCAGCAGCAGGTCTTCCACACGGTTTCTGGCATCCCTGTGGTCATAGCTCAGCAATATAACAAAGAACCAGGCAGCTCATTTGGATTTAATTGTTAATATCAGAATATATGGTTTCAAATATAACTAGACTCTCAACAAAATGTGACATCAGCCAAAAAAACCCTATCTGTTGAAATTCTATCCAGTCAGTCAAAGCACAAATGTATTTTCATTACTGCAGAAATAAGATGCTGTTCTGATGCATTTACAGCAGGATGAAGCCTGAAAGCGTTATGCCAAGTGAAAGAAGCCAGTCACAAAAGGGCAGGTAGTGCAAGATTCTGCTTACAGGAAATGTCTAGACCAGGCAGTCCCTGCAGATGGAGTAGACTCAATTCTCCAGGGACAGGGGCGGGGATATGGGACTCACTGCTTAATGGGTGCAGTTTATCTTTGGGGGGGATGGAAAAGTTTTCAGGCTTGCGGAGGTGATGGTTATACAACATCATGAATGTAACTGAATCGTTCACTTAAAAATAATTCACATGGCAAATGCATGTGTGTGCATTTTACAATAAAAAGCAATTCAAAAAAATTGGTACATGAATTATAGCATTTGAATTAAAATTGAAAAATAAATATAATGTAAAAAAGACCTTTCAACATTACTAGGAAAATAACCTAGCAGCAAATAAAAATATTAAGATAACTTTTAGAGAAAACATCTTTTCCTGCAACAAAAATTTCTAAAAATAGCAACATGGAAGCATTATAAAGATTAATCTCTCTCGTTAGTCTAATCTTGGTATTTGATATGCCTGCAATCTTCACATAAAGCAAAATAACCTTTAAAAACTTCATTTAATTTTTAGGTATTTAATTCTATGGAGGACTTTTAAATCGTATTTGGGAAATCTTTCAAAGACCAACTTTGCCAGGTTAAAATATCTCATCTCTCTCGGACCCTCGTGATAAATCATCCTCAGTTTAGACACAAACAATGCGGAGCCTAAAGATGAAAAGGCTGAAGGAAAATGAGAGGTGACCTCAGCAAACTTGAAAAGAACAGAATTTGTCAGAATGCATTAAGAAAATTTCTTGTAGTTTTGAGTCCAAAAAGATAAAAATTTGAACAAAAAGTCTATTTAAGACTGCTAAGACTTTTTTCAGGAATTAAAGACAAATAGTTTTTAAATCTGCCCAAGCTATAAATCTTTGACACCAAGTCTCTTTTATAAAACACACTGGTAGGAAATGGCTTCTGGAACTCCACCATGCCAGACACGAGAGGTGGTGTCACTGCAGGAGCCCGTTCCCCAGGGCTCCCGACAGGGCGTGATCCACAAGAAACTCTTGGAGCACAGCAATCACTAAGCAGCCATAATAGTCACCTTTCTGTGCTCCCTCCTTCTGGATGAGATGGAACAGAAAAGGTACTCTGAGATCTTACTCCTGCCAGAAACCGGGGGTGGCGCGGGGGGGGGGGGGGGGGGGGGGGGGGGTGGCGCCCATGTGGGACTGGATTATCTACTGTGAAGGGGAGACTGTTAGCAGAGCTTCCCATCAGGGGGCGCCATCTGTCCAGGCTGAGCCCTTTCACCAGCTGTCAGACTGAAAAGGAACGTCCAACAAACCACAGTCCAGCAAGGAAAGTCTGCGCAACCGAGATGCTGGGTTCCCAGACAGCCCCGACAGCCATGCTCCTCTCCCGAAGGCTGGCCTGCACCTTCTGGCAAGATTGCAGAACCAGCTGCCTTCTGCCTAAGAGATTGCAGAAAACACCTGACTACAGTCTTGTCAAGACAGAATTACAGGGATTCAAAAAGCAACTATAAGATATTGCCACATGAACTTGAATTTAAGCAACAGAGACCACCTGAGGAGGGACTGGCGGGCCTGACCCAGCAGCAGCAGCACAGCTCTTCACCTCAACGGAAACAAGCTCCCATCAGGAACCTGCTTAGCTGGATCTGACCTACCCTCACACAGGGGACCAAGACCAAGTTTATCAGCAGCTTAGGTTCCAAACTCAGTAAGGCTCCAGCTCTGTGCTGAAATATTCAGGGGCTCAGGGGTCTCTTTCCAGATCCCTATCACCTTGCCAGAAGCACATAGTCTCTGGGGCTCTGATTTTATTAATGCTTCATTATCACAAAGCCCAGGATTCTTACCCTACCTATCTTCATGACCAGGGGCAAGCTATGCGGCTATGCCATTTCCTCACCTGGACAAAGAAGCCACTAACACCTCCTAGAGGGCAGAAATTAGTGCAGGCGATGTCACCCAAGGCCAGCCCATCTGACCTTACTTTGCACATCGACTGAATGACCAGGGGCAGTATGGGAGACCCTCACTTCAGAGAGAGGCTGGCTGTGGCCTCTGGTGCCCGACCGATTGAGGGTGGTGCCCAATGCAGCTCTGAAGGCCTGTTTCTCTCAAGATGACCATGACCTCCTTTCACACCCTCTTGAGTCATGGCATTATGAATTTAAAGTACTTCAGTGATTTAGATGGAAGGTCAAAAAGTTCAGCCTACCTGATGACACAGTTGCCTCGGTTGGATGCAAAGATGACAATAGGGGCAATAGAAGATTCCAGGGCCCGGTGCAGGTAAGTGAAACACTCGATGTCCAGCATGTGAACCTCGTCAACAAAGAGCACCCCAGGAACCAGCTCCGCAATGCCCTGATCGATGTACTTGTTCACCACCTTGTTGATCTCCCCTCGAAGTTTATCTAGAATGTGACGATGGACAAGCCAGGTCAGGGGAGGGGAACTTTTCTCAGTGTCACCTTTCACCCCCCATCCCAATTCAATCCAGACCCAGGTCAGGAGCCTAGTTTTACTACTAACTCTGTCACCCCTCCCCCACCAGATTCAGTCCCCATTCCGGGCTTCAGTTTCAACATTTGAAAACAGAGATAATCACACCAAAGGGTCACAGAATTGACAGCTCCCCGGAATATGTGTCTTGTTAGGTTTAGACAAGGATCTTCCAAAGTTACGCATGGGAGTGTCCGTTACATGCCCCACCAAGCCGTATAGCTCACACCCTCCCAGTACCGCTCCCTGCCAGCCTGCAGAGACACTGGGGTCTGGGGCCCTGGATGAAGTGAGTTTTCATACATAATTTTGCAGTTCTGTACTTAGTAAATGGCCCTTTTTTAGGGCAGTATGACAAAGCTTAGGTTAATTAACTTTCAATCAATCAAGTGCCTGGACAAAGGATGACGGTGCACTTGGAATCCCTAGGGGGGAATCCTGTGAGGAATGAAACGTCTAATCTCAGCTCCAAAAGGGACAAGATTCTCTCAGGTTAAATGACCCATCTAAGGTCAGTTTTTTCTCGTTTTCCAAACCGGCGCCTGCACTGTCATCAGGAGGAAGCTGCTCACAAGCACAGAACGAGGAGGCCTGATGCAGAGCCTACGCCCCAGCCATGAGGCAGAAACTGGTCTCAGGAATGCAGATGCAAAGGGCTCAGAGAGTTCCACTGGCTAAACCTTTACAGAGAGCAGATGCTTTACTCTTTAACATTTTAAGGTAACAACGCCAAAGGTGGTAATGAGAGAAAAGGGAGATGTACAGGTGGGAGAAGAGAAGCAGGATGAGTTACAGGCTCAGGAGGGAGCAGCCATGCTCTCTGCCTCGCCCTGGGACCTGCGGGGGAGGCCGAGCAGCGCTGGCTGGAGAGCCCCGTGGTCGGCAGGGGAGGGCAGCAAGGGGTCTCCAAGGCGGCAGAGACTGCCGTGGCTGCCCTGGTAGGAGGCATCCTACAGATCCGGGACCCCAACGGGTCCGGAGACGGTGCCAGCCCCCGTCTGAGTGCAAGGATAACAAGTGCCGTCCAGGGAGGCGCTAGCACGTGGGGTGGGAGAACCCATGGCGTGCTTTGCACAAAGTCAGGCTCTGAACACAGAGGAAGAAAGCTCTGCCAAGCAAGGCATCCACTCAGGCTCAGGGACTCACAGAATCTCAGAAACCAACTCGGCGTCCTGCCCACCGGCCCTGCTGTTTAGTTTCTCTTACCTGTAATTTCTGTCTTCTTTGGCTTCATTAACTGGCCCATCATGGACAGGATGTCTTGTCCCCCCTAAGATAAGACGCATAGAGTCAGCCCTGCTTTGTAGGGCAGCTGCAAAAGCTTCATACCCCCCCACCCCCACTCCTGCAAATCCACCAGTTTCCAATGTTAACTCAATATGGGGTCCTGAGGTATAGAGACCCCAAAAGACCTCCACTGGAAAACTCGAGGAACTTCTAAACACAGAGAAGTTTTTACAGGCTCCCAAGACCTGCAAATATTAAACAAAAGCCCTTCTGTGGGAAGTCTAAGCTCTGAGGGGTCTGCTCCAGCCTCCCCCTGCCACAGAACTACGACCCCTTCAGGAACACCCAAACTCCACCCAAACTCTTCTATGATGATGGTTGTATGGATTCTAGTCCATTGGCCAGGAAAAGTATCCTCTTTCCTAGGAAGCTCTTAATCAACGAGCGTGACCCCTGACCCCATCCCCACGCACCAGTACCCTTAGGGACAGATGGACCGTTTAAGTAAATGTAAGGACATAGCCTGTGATGTTCCTGTGTCTCCCCTCATGCGACCTGGCTACACAGTCGCATCTGCCTAGTCCAGATCTGGCCCTGCAAAGTCTAGCACGCCATCCCTAACTCTAGTTAGGTCACCAGGGGAATGAGCCTCTGTCACTGATCCCACATTAGCGAGCACCTGCTGGTCACTGGGTGCCAGGACCCAGAACCGCTCACTAAACACTCATCAGTAAAAGGCAGTAAGGGCTCCTGAACACCAACACCAGGGCCTCAGCACACAGCCTGGCAGGAACTAGGGTGTCCTTTTCAGAGGGGGCGGCAGAGCGCCCTAAATCACAGGAATCATGGGGACCACAGTGACCACTGGCCGAGCTTGGGGTGTCAGAGGGGCACACTTCCTGGCTTCCACTCTCAGCCTAGCACTCTCTCTAAGCCAAAAGGCTCCCACAAGGTCACTTCGGGGACAGTTGTTGCAGACTGGGGGACCTGTTGGCTCTAGGTGCTCTATCTCTTGACCAAGGTTCCATGGGGCAAAACCCACAAGCATCAAACTACAAGTCAGAAAGTCTATTCCCTGCGAGTCTAGAGTTGGCTAAAAAAGGAAGCCAAAGTGAAGACTACAGCAGGGAAGAGCTGGGTTTTCAAAATCACACATTTCCCAGAAATATCAGAAGGAAATAACATCCTTCCCACATCTGACCAGTCAAGGCACAAGACCCACTGGCTCAGCACAAGCAGATACAGCGCCACCCAAAGCTCAAGGCCTGGGGCTGCTGCTGAGCAGGGAAAACACAGCTTTGTCAGGTTCCCAAAACCCCACGAGGGGCTCAGAGCGCACCCCAGCCTCCCGCGCCCACACCCAGGGACGCCCGGGTGCCTGCTGCTGGAGAGAAGCCACAGAGAAGCGGGTAGCTCAGGGCCAGAGCCAGGCTGGAACAAGAACAATACAATGAAATCATCTGTGACTGGAGCATTTGAATTGGAACAAAGGCGTCCCTTGCAGCTCATGTCGATGTTAATTGCTGAACATTACAGACAGAAAAGGACCGTCTGCCCCTAGAAGCGAGCGGGACGCTGACAATTCACTCGTGCAGCCTCCGTGCACACAAAGGGGATCGGGCCAGCGCTCCGCAGCCAGGCGGTACCTGGGGCCGTGCATTGGCCACATCCAAGTCGTGCAAGGTCACGTCCTGGATGATTTCTTTCTTCTTGTGCACATCTCCCTTTGGCAAGGGCACATACTCCTCGGCTTCAAGGTCGAATTCTGTGGCGTAGGTATCACACCTGCCCTGTCTCTGCGAAAAGAGAGACACCTGAGCGCCTGGTGCGTTTTCGCTGCCAAGTCCCCAAATGGCATGCAGCTAAGTGAGATAAAGGTCTCAGTTCCCCGCTGCGGGCCTGACAGCCTGCTCAGACTCCCAAATCTGCCCCACTCCCGCGCCGCCAAGAAGGGTGCTATCTGCTCATCACTGGGCTCCAAAAACCCAGGTGAAAAACACCTGATACTTTCTCCAAGAATCTTTTTCCTCCTCTCTTTTAAGTGTATGCAATTCCCGATAAAGGGCAAATCCAGTAGATTAACTGGAGACGGAGGGAGCGGTTCAGACTCTTTTGTAGGTGGGTGATTTATTGTATGATATGAAGTATTATGCTCATCCATTAAACAGTGAGGAACACTGTACAGGACACTGGAAATCAGATATAAAAAGAATGCCAACTAATGCAGCATTCCTTTCCACATGCATATATCTTGGGAAGAAAATACCAGAGAGATAAAAGGAAGATTAAATACACTGCACATTTCAATTTGAAAATGACTACAGTTGTTTTGCTTTCTCCCCCTGTACTCCACCTCTAAACAAGTTGTAGTATTTTTCTAACAGACTGTCTGTTTTAATCATGAGAAGGTTAAAGAATGAAGATAAAGGGGAAGCAAACTTTATTAAACAGAAAGGGTCAACTGCTGACCTTCCATTGGCGTCTCCCTAAGAAAGCTCACCCTCCCTCCCCCAAGAAAACGTCTCCTGTCATCTCAGTCTCCTCGTGGTGAGCTACCCATGGTATTACCTTCACGGCCCCACTGTTGGCTTCGATATAAATCACATCTCCAGCCTCTACTCGCTCTTTCTGCAAACTTTCAAAAATGCTGGGGTCCAACTTAAAAAAAAAAAGAAAACAAATGAAGCGTAGAGTCCAGATCTGTAGTACATATTATACTTATTCCTGACATTCTATGAGCACCTTTCCCTAAGAGATCAGAGGTAGCTCATGACATACCAAGAGTATGCACACGTGTGTGTGTGTGTGTGTGTGTGTGTGTGTGTGTGTCAGAGAGACCGACTTTGGGGCCTTGGGTGTCCCAGAGACAAAGCAGGAGTAAGCACACCAGCACTCGAGAGGGGCACAAGCAGAGACTGTCCTCCTTCCCTTACTTACAAGGTTACAAACTGGAAAATATGGTCTTGCTGCCTTTTGGTGGGGCCTGCACTGTCGCTGGGCTCACAGACCCTAAACAACCCCCCTCTTCAGAGTGTTATTCTTGCTTCAAACCTTTGCTCTCCTCAGTAGGTGGTGGGGTGGAACTTTCTGCAGCTGCCGCACCTTCTAGAACCTACTTCCCCTCCGGCTGGCATTTTGCAGGCCTGATTTTGAACAAGGCTCTCTGAGCCTCAGCTTCCTCATCTATAACAGCACCCAGATGTGGACACAGATGTGTAAGATTCAGAGGGAAACTCAAACCAGTGTCTTTCCCAAGTCTTTGTAGTCAAACCCCAATGTTCGGCCTGAGCTCTGTCTACTTCCATCTCCAGGAAACGAGCACTTTGGAAACTGCTGCTTTCCTGCAGATTGTCCAGATCTGGGCCGTCCAATAGTCTAGGACAACATCTTTGTATGGAGCCAGTATTTAGAAATGAGTTTCTCCTGGTTAAACATCAAGGAAAGTTATGTTCTATGATTGTGGCTGTGGTAGGGAAAAACTTGGACTTTGTCTCAGAACCAAAGAATAAAAACCCAGGACTCTGTGAAAGAAGCCAGACACAAAGGGACACCTACTATGGGATTCCATTTACTGAAATGTCCAGAAAAGGCAAATCTGTAGAAACAGAAAGTTTACCGGGGAATCTGGTAGAATGTGGAGCTACTGTATATGGGTATGAGGTTTCTTTTTGGGGTGATAAAATTATAAAACTGGATCACAGTGAAGGTTGTACAGCTGTAAACAGATGACAATTCCTTGAATTTTACACTTACAATAGGTGAATTTTATTCAAAATTCCATCTCCATAGAATTGCTACAAACAGTAATCATAGGAACAAGGCCAGGTTCAGCCTCCCTGGCTGGGTAGGGACCAATGTCTCTCAGAGCACCCAGGAACACAGGGACAGCGGGTGGCAGGCACCCAGCATGGGGCCCAGCATGACGGAGGCACTGGATAATGTCGGCAAGCATGGTGTCCTCCTTCAGACTTAAAATCTCCACTAAGCCTCTAGGCTTGGTCATCTGGTTATCTTGTACATGTGCACCAAGTAGCAATAAGTACTTCTTTTGTAAGGAAATAAAATTCACCTTTCCCTTATGCTATTTTCTTAAACTGTGCAAAGTAGCCTCATGGATAGCTGAGATTTAAACTACATGCCTCATTTTATCTGTCCTGAATTGGCGAGTATACATTCTTTTTTTCCCCCCTCAAGCATTTTTATATCGGTTAATTTCCCAAATGAATTGACTGAAGATGTAATTACTGGAAAGGTGGCAGATCCTACTAAGAAATCTAATTAATATAGGATGGAAGAGATGAGAGGGAGGTTTAAAAGATATCTGCAGACGCAAGTTCTTAAGATGGAAACCCTGTTAGGAGAAAGACAAATGGTCCTGTGAAGAAGTGACATTTTTATGATCACCATAAAGCAGTGACCAAGAAACCACCTTACAGAATCAAAGGAGCATAAAATTACAGAGGGAGCAAAGATGGAGAAATTACATGGCCAATCTACCACAGTTTATAGATGGGCTTCGGAAGCACAGAGAGCTCAACCAACTTCCACAGGTGACACAGCAAGTTGGAGGGTAGGCAGAAGAACAGTTAGGACTCAGCCCCCTCTGACAATTAACTAGCTACATGGGGCCTCCCTGGTGGCGCAAGGGGTTAAGCACCGCAGTATGAAGCAATCTGCAGCCTCTGCAGCGCAAGTTCGATCCCCGGCCAGCCAGAGAGCAACCCACATGGCAAAGCAGACTCCTGTGTCTCCTGATGCTCCCCTCAGCAGTGTATTTTGGTCAGTCTGCCTGTTCTGTTCCCCACTCTGTCTCTGGTGAATCCTCTCACCCCCCGCATCTCTGGCCTGTACCCCAGCTCTTGTATGCATAAATAAATAAATCTTTAAAAAAAATTAACTTGCTCCATGGTCTGAGGGTAACTTCTTATCTTCTACATCATCACCCATAGTATACAGAGCAAGAAACTGCGACACAGAGAGGTTACACTACCTACCCAAAGCCACACAGCCTTGCTTTTCAGGCAAGAGCAAAGAGTCCACAAACATGTACTCACTTTCAACTGCTTGGTTCCTTTGGCTGTTTTGAGTCCTATGATTACGTGGCTGATGGTCTTGCCATACCCGCCCATGGGGTTCTCTGTCTCACATGGAGTCAGCTCTGTGACTTCGCCTTCATAAACCTCCTTGGTCTCCTTTATCCGCAGCCCTGAAAGAGACCGCAGATGAGCTCTGGACAGAAGCAGAATTTTCTCATTCTTTCTCTCTCTGGACAAATATTTTTTAGCCACAAAACTTCTGTGTCACAAGAACTGATAAGTCAACCAGACTAACATGTGCTGGAGTGTCATTCTGGGGAGAAAAGCGCTACAAACACTAAGGAAAACTGGAGCAGCTATTCAAAAAGCAGAAAAACAGAATTATTTCAGCATTCCTAGGACATTTCTAGGTTCAAATTTAGAACTAGACAAACAAGCTGTGGCTTCACACTTGTTTCAAACGTTGACATTCAGATGTGATTACCCATCAAGAGTGCCCTGCAGCTGTAGCCTCTAATCTGGGCCCTGAACCTAAATCATTCGACTCCATAAAGTAGCAACTACATGTGCCCTGATCTTTTGCATTTTAGACTCTCATTCATAGATTTAAAATTTGTATACATGAAGGCAAATGGCTCTCCTCATTCCAAATATCACCAAAACTTGTTGTTCAATAAATGTTTGTTGTCAACAACAAAGTAAGAATTATTGTCAGACTAATTTTTAGAACATGACCTCCTTTTTATACAATGTTTTTGCTGCCTGAAGCACCCTTCCATCCCACATTTTTGACCTCACTGACTCCTCCCTGCACACAACAAAACTCCGGACCAGAGAGTTTGCTGACACACTCTTTCTACCCCCACAACGGCCACCCTCACAAGGACTGCAGAGACCTGACTAGCCGTCTGCAAACTGTCCACAGGCTGAGGGCCTAGATCAACCTTTCTTCCCTCCAAAGTCAGAATAGACAATTCTCTGCCTGCTGGTTCAGGGCAACAGGGAGAAGTGACTAGAGGGAACATAGGAGCTTCTGGAATGAGGCCTGTTTCGCGATCTGGGTGCTGGTTACATGAGTATGTGACTTTATGGAAACTCATTTACTTGTGACTTCTGCTATTTATATTAGATATATAAATGCTTTAATAACATTTACATTGGGCCTCCCCTGGTGGTGCAGGCAGTTGAGCGCCGTGCTGTGAAGCTGTCCGCAGCCTCTGCAGCGCTGGTTTGATCCCGGCCGGCCGGCCGGCGAGGGTCCCACATGGCACAACAGACCTCTCTTGTCATGCCCGCTGCTCCCCTCAGCAGCGTATTTCATCAGTCTGCCTGTTCTGCTCCCTGTCTCTGGTGAGTCCTCTCACCCTACCATGCATCTGGCCTGTACCCTGGTTCTTACATAAATAAATAAATAAACCTTAATAAAAAACCAAAAAATATTTCTTTTTTTAAAAAAACAAAAAGCGCTTACATTCAACTAAGAACAAATTGGGCTTTTCTGACAAACCAATGATACTCATTAATAAATGAAGATTGGGGCCTCCCTGGTGGCGCAAGGGGTAAAGACGCAGACTGTGAAGCTGTCTGCAGCTACTGCAGCATGAGTTTGATCCCCAGCCGGCCAGGGAGGAGACCCACACGGCACAGCAGACCTCTCCTACCTCACCCGCTGCTCCCCTCAGCAGTGTATTTCGGTCAGTCTGCCTGTTCTGTTCCCCACTCTGTCTCTGGTGAGTCCTCTCACTCCCCACACCTCTGGCCTGTACCCCAGTTCTTGTATGCATAAATAAATCTTTAAAAAAATAAATGAAGATTTAAGACGACTGTGCATCACTAAACACAGCTTCCTTGGAAATACACATGACACACACACACTCAATCACTCATGTACATCTGTACACATGCAGGCACACGTGCACACACACCCAGACTCTCAAGGAATACAAACAGCTTTCTCCAAAACCATAGTCCTGCCACAGATAAGTTACCAGTTATTAAATCTATTTTCAGAGAGCCTAGAAACATGAACAAGAAAACCATTCTAAGTCACTCTGCCTGCCAGGCCCCCGGGGACTCATCATTCCCAGTCTAGAGCTCCCCAGAGCCTCAGGCCACGGCTGAGAGCCACTCACCTAAAGAATGAATCAAGGACTCCTTTCTACTCACAAATGTGGAAACAGAAACTTCTTCTGATGGCGGGGAGCCCTGATATGGTGTCCTCATCGTTAAATCACCTCTCTTATGATACGGAGACACCCCCTGGCCCACAGAAGCACTGCCAGGGAAGCCAGACACTCCCAATCACTTCCGACTTTCAAGTGTGGTCATTATCTTATCGCTGGGTTGGTTGCCTTTTTCCCCAGAAACTCAATCGGGGCACAGCTTCTCTCAGATAGTGAAGTTAAGGAAATGTCTTAGTCTACCTTCGTACAACCTGACAGCCTACAAATGGAAGTTCTGGATGAGCCCCAAAAGACAGTCTATATTTCACTTTCCTTACCACATTTTTAGTTCCTGAACATCACGATAAAAATTTTCCAAGCAATATGAAACGTATCAAAGATTGTGACAAACTTGGAAAATTCTGTCCTTTTAAAATGAACTTTGATTTTTTTTTTTTAATCAAAACCTTTATATCCCAGAGATAAATTCCCTCAAATGGAAAGCTTTCCTATACTACTGTTAGACCGTGACATGAAATTCCTGAAGTGGGAAGAAAGGCATTCTCGTCTCTCACTAGTCCCCATATTTGTTTAGAAGTTGCTCTGTGCTGACAAGCAGGCAGGGGATGTGGTTGACGGACAATGAAACCGGCTGTGAGCCAGAAAAGGGGCTGAGCTGGCGCTGTCTCTGGCATCGACAACACAAATGACACGGGTTTCATCTGCCAGCTCAGGTTTCTAAATCCCTGACAGGGACCTTCATCACGTCAAGGAAACAGCACAGACTCCTTGCTTTTTATTTCTGGTCAGCTTACCACTCCTCCCCACCCCCTCTGCCAACTTCACAGGAATTCAAAGGCGGAGGAAGATGGCCAGAGCTCCTTTTTGAAGAGAGTCAATGGCGTGCCTTTTTCTTCTGTGGCAGGATCAAGAAATTTCCCTTCACCTTGCTGCCATCAAAAGAACTGCACGCCCCCTCCCCTCAAAAATGGCAAGTCACAAAACAGATGCCAAGGAAATTTATCTCTATTTTTTTCAAATTTTAAAGCACTTAAGTTACCTTGAAACAGCCCAAACACACGCACACATGAGAAGATCAGTTTTGTCAGATTTTATCAAAGTCAGGAAAATCTTTTCTGAATAAATAGCAACACATTCTTCTCATAGGTGGAGCTGCTGCTGGAGGATGAATATTCCAACAAAGAAAAATATATTTTGAAACTACTCAGAAGTGAGCCAGCTGTAACCTCTCATGGTTTATCTCATTCATTACGACGTAAGTAACGCCACTGGCACATGTTCATTACGTTTTTAAGAAGTATGCAAAGATTTTAAACTTTTAAGAGGGTCTTGTGGGCCATTTCCATCCTGACTCCAGACCTGATGTAAAGTGGTAAGGCCAAGGTCAGCACGACCTGTAACAACCCTGGGAGACCCCCACAAATATAAGCAATCCTACAGAAGCAAGACACACCTCAAGTAGGTTCTGCCACGATAAAATTTTAAAAGGGCAAAATTAAACCACACAATGTGGAGACACGGATGAGAATACAGAGAGATGAGACCCACAGAAGCCAGTGCCCATCACCCTCCTAATCGTGGGCGTGCACGGGGTTACGGGGGCTGGGTGGCGCTGCAGCCCGAGCTGAGTGCATGTGCTCTTTCTTCACAATTGATTATTAAATGACAGGTGTGTTTAACACACTTTTCCATGTGTATGTTACACCTCACTTTAAAATAGGCACCCCAAATTCCAATGTTTCATGGCAAAAACCATATCCAATAAGAAATACTTTACAATTAAAAAAGTCAGTAGTCAGCACAACACAAAATGCAGCCTCAGACATAGTTCGCGATCTTTCCAATTGAGCCCCAAACTCCAGCACCTGTGGGAACCTGGCGGGGAACAAAGATGCGGGGCAAGTCTCAGGCGCCCTCAGCATGCTGGGTGCAAGGCCGCTCTGAGGGGGGAATGCAAGCTTCTTTCAAGAAGCCAGAAAGGCTTTATGACATCTCCCAATTTCTAACTACTGGTAACCAACACAAAATATATTAAAAAAAAAAAACCAAGCAAGATGTAAATCAAATAAAATGCATCTATCAGCCAGACACTGACTTTCTTTAGCTGAAGACTTGTTTTTTATCTGCTTTAAATTCCACCCTTCTCTCATTCAGAAAAATTTCAGTCTTTCCTGGCATATCACGTGTGAGGAACGGGGGCTACAAAGATAAACGCTGCCACTGTGCCCTTAGTATTTAATGAGCACCCAGCCTTCACTCCCCCTACTCATACCCCACTTCTAAAAATGGCAAAGCCGAGGCCTCCCTGGTGGCGCAGGTGGCTGAGCACGGCACTGTGAAGCAGCTTGCAGCCTCTGCAGCGCCGGTTCAATTCCCGCCAGGCCAGGGAGATTCCCACATGGTGCCGTAGACCTCTCTTGTCTCGCCCGCTGCTCCCCTCAGCAGTGCTTTCGGTCTGTCTGCTTGTTCTGCTCCCCACTCTGTCTCTGGTGAATCCTCTCACCCTCCCGCACCTCTGGCCTATACCCCAGCTATTACATAAATGACAAATAAATCTTTAAAAAAAAAAAAAATGGCAAAGCCTGGGAATCTTCCTCATCTCATCTTTCAGACGCCACATCTAATCCTTCAGGAAGTCATGTCAGCTCGCTCTACTATCAACGACCCAGAATCCAACCACTTCTACCACTGCCAACCCTGATCCAAGCCACCAGCATTTCTTGCTCAGCTCCTCAAGGTCTCCCTGCTTTTACCCTGGCTCTCCTTTCTGTCAAATTCCCTAGGGGAATTTGGCCAGGGGATTCTGGTAAAGCTGAAACCATTCTCCAATCGCTGCTTCTTTCCCTTAGGAATACGCCCCAGCCCAAACAAGGCCTAAGGTCCTACCTGACCTAACTCTAAACTAGATGCTAGTCCTTGAGGAGAAGACAAATTTACTTTTTCTAGGTTAGACAAATTTACTCTTTCTTAAACTTTCATGATTTCCTCCCAATTTTCTAGTAAATTTCCTTCTCAAAAATGCTTCCTTTGCTTTAACAACCGAAGGGGCTGTACAGCAGGCCCGCACTGTGCCCTGTCCTCCAGATCCCTGACTTGGCCAGCACAGTCTAGAGACTAGCTTGCCCAGGTGCAGACACAGCAGACATTTTCTAATAGCTTAAAAGGAACCAGTTATTTCTACAAGTGGATCTGAGGGAAATTGGGATTTTCCCAGAACAAGACCATCATAAATGAGGCTAGTACATATCCCCAGAAGTCCCGGCTGGCAAGAGGCAAATATTCAGGAAAGAAGAAAGAATCAGAAAATGTAGGCTCAGGCTGTAGCTCTGCTACTTATGAATGGGGTCACCATTGTTCTGAGACTCTGTTTTGTCAAATGCAAGATGCAGATTGATAACCTCCTGGGGGGCGTGACAGGTTATAATCAATGAAGAGCAATGGACTTAAGGGGACTGTAGCTCCACGCCGCACACAAGCCTCAAAGCTCGGCCCTCACATGGCTTCCTCATCTGAGAGGCGACAATTCTTCTAGCTCAACAGCCAGGACTGGGGTGCTCTGGCAGCATGACACACACAGCTTTTGGCTTAAGTCCAAACTTTTTCAGTGGCAGTCATCTCTAAAGGCACGAGAAAGCTACCAGAAAATCTGACCTGTTTTTTTTTACAAAATCACAACATAGCCACATCTATTTTGTCAGGTGAAGAACCACAGTCCGGGCCCACATTTGCTGATTCTAAAGGATTTCCATCAGAAAAGGTGGGTCTTTGTTTTTCTGGCACAGATCACAACGAAGGTGCCAAACAGCAGTACAACAAACCCAAGTCATTTGCACAGTGAAGAGGCTTCATCACAATGGTTCCTCCCACAAATGCAAGACTCACCAATCGCCCTGCGGAAGTTCTCCATCAGCACTTCCGTCTTCTTGATCTCCGTCGAGTAAACTTCACTCCCCACCATTGGGCAGAAAGGGACCTTACTGCCCAGCTCCTGAGCAATGGCCAGGGCTAGGGCTGTCTACAGAAAACAATGGAAAGGCACGTGGCTTACATTCATGAAAATGTAATAATTCAGAAACATGCTATAAAAACTATTAACCAGAAGCAACTGAAACTCTAGTCCTTTACTATCATTTGGCACAATAAACACTTGATGATTTCTGCAGAGTTTTTCTTCCCCACAAAAGCAAATCCTCTCCCAACTCAATGCACCCCGCTTTCCAGCCCTCAATGCCAGTCCTGCTCAAACCCCAGCTGCACTTCAGATCAGTCAATACCCTACAGCTTACTTTCCACTGGGGCAGCCCCGCTGCCATGCTTTCCTCTTCCTTCATGGAAAGATTGGAAGCCCCTTGAAGATAAAAATCATGTCTCTAATTCTTTCCCCCCCCCCATCTCTTGCACAGCCAACATAATGATGGGTGAAATTAGTATTTGAGAAAATGTTTGCTGACTGCTTTTCTTGCCCCCTCAAGTAAGATGTCACCCCCGAGATTTTCTAAAGCCCTAGGCCAGTAGTGGATTTCCAAAGCGCAGGGACTTGAAGGAGATAAAGGACAAATTATGGAGACAGTGAGACCCCTCCAAGGACTTCATTCTCTTTTCTCTGGAGGTCAGCCAGGATAATTTGAATTTTTTAGAAGCAGGGATTTTAGCCACTCAATTGTATTACTGCACATTAGTTTAAAAAAACATACATATAACCTATTTAGCTAAATAAAGACTAGTTAAGACACAAATTCAATTTGGCTTAGACATAAGGATCATTCTCTTGGGTAGATTTTTTAAAATGAGAAAAAGGAGTACCTTGCCAGTTCCAGGAGGTCCTGCCAACAAGACAGCTCTTCCAGCCATCTTCTTGCTTTTGATTAATTCTACTATCACACCACATGCCTAGACACCACATGGAAAGAAATAATAAATCAGTATTAAAATGTTTCATATGGGGCCTCCCCGGTGGCACAGCGGGTTGAGTACAGCGCTGTGAAGCTGTCTGCAGCCTCCACAGCGTGGGTTTGCATCCCCGCCGGCCAGGGAGATAGCCACAGGGCGCAGCAGACCTCTCCTGTCTCGCCCGCTGCTCCCCTCAGCAGTGTTTTCAGTGAGTCTGCCTGTTCTGCTCCCTGTTCTGTCTCTGGTGAATCCTCTCACCTTCCTGCGACTCTGACCTGTACCCCAGTTCTTGTATAAAATAAATAAATCTTTAACAACAAAAAAAAAAGTTTCATGGAGGAAAAGTCCGGTCTCTGTCCACACAATTCATATTTTTTTTTAAAGATTTATTTACTTATGCATACAAGAGCTGGGGTACAGGCCAGAGATGCGGGGGATGAGAGGATTCACCAGAGACAGAGCGGGGAACAGAACAGGCAGATTGGCAGAAGTACCCTGCTAAGGGGAGCAGCAGGCGAGCCAGGAGAGGTCTGCTGCACCATGTGGGTTGCTCCTTGGCTGGCCGGGAATCGAACTTGTGCTGCAGTGGCTGTGGATTGCTTCATAGGTTGCGTCTTAATCCCTTGCGCCACCAGGGAGGCCCACAATTCATATTCTTATTCAGCTAACACTGGACACTGAGTCAGTTCGCAGAAGCTCGAGGCACTGGAAGCAGGACAGCACAAGACAGCCTTGTGCTTACGGAGCTCTTGTTCTACCTGCACAAGACCACGACTATGACGAAAAACAGAGAAGGAGTAGGTAGGGGCAGAAATTACTCGAGAAAACGTGAGTGACCTGAGAAAACCTCCCTGATCACACTGTCCTTGATACATGAAGCTCTGAGCAGGGTGAGTTAGTGTTTCAGGTACAACAAACACTGAATTCAAACCACTGGAGCTTGGTACGACCGTGGGACAGACAAGCCAGGTGAGCAGAGGAAACAGGAGACTGGGGAGATGAGGTGGAAGAGGTAGGTAGGGGGCAGAACTCGGATCTCAGAATCCACAGCCAAGTTTGCATTTTCTTCTCCTTGTGCCGGGAAGCAATGTGAAGGCCTCACATGGCTGCTGTGTGGAAAATGGACAGGAAGGGTACAAAGGGGAGCTGTGATTGGAGTTAGGGTCCAAGGACAGACCCTAGCAGACCACACAATTTTAATATTGGAAATTAAATTGGAAACTAAACTCTGTGTATATGTTCACACATGACTTTTTCCAGCGAGAGGCTTCACAGCCTTAGTAAGATTCCCAGAGTGACCCGTGGTGGGGTTAAGAATCGATGAGATGCATGACCATTTGGCCACCAGCTAACATCCCAGAATGCCGCAGAGCAGATGCTGCACTGAGTTAAGCCTGCGGCACCCTAAGATTCATTCTGTGTGTCTCAAGATACATCACTTCATTATTTGTTGCTATCTTTTAAATGGTCTAACTTTGTGAATATTATTAAGCCACTAATAGCATACACACAAATTGCAGAAATGGATGAATTAATTGTTATATATTTTAGAATATTGAACTAGAAAGGACTGAGGTGAGGTCACACTTATTGAGTACTTATATCCCAGGACTACATAATACAAATCTTCTCACATGGACTTAATAACCTACTACTCGACTGTCTAAAAGGTTCTCCTGGCCGTAGGGAAGGCCGCAGCTCTTTTCTCAGGTCCTGGGAACACACCTTACCTCTCTAGCGCTATTTCCCACAGACAATGGAGAAGGACCCGGAACGCTTACAACAGTCCTTCAAAAGATGTGTTCATGGAACACATGTGGGTGTGCCAGCTACTCCATTTCTGACTCGGTTGAAAGGCACAGGGCCCTTAAGAGTCTAGGAGCTATTCTTCAGATGTTGCATTTCTCAAAAGATAACAGGGCCACCACACAACCCTATGATATCAGAATCCTTAGCATGGGGACCTCTTTGGGAAACTCAAGAGCTAGAAGAGACTTTCCAAACTTTGGAATATATACCCTTATTCACACACCAGGCCCTCTTCCATATAATTTTCCTCAAGGTAAGCTCCAACTTCTCGCCCATGAGATATGTTCGGTAAACTAAAATTTAAAAGTAGAAACTGAAAGGGCTTCTAATGACCTAGTCTCATTTTTCAGAGAGGGTATTAAGCATCTGGGCCTGGTAACTGAGGTGGGATACCCATTAATTTAATAAATTCTGAGTCAAGTTTGAGTATATAATATCACCTGGTCAGACTCTAGCCTCAGGAAACTTACATCTGTACCGAGGCATATAGCATCAGAGTGTGGATTCTAAAGTCAGATGGGCTTGGAATTAAATCCTGGCTCTACCACTACCAGCTAAATGGTCTTAGGCTGCTGCACCTCCCTCTGCAGTGACCTTTAGGGCTAATGGCTTTCGCCACAGTCCCTAGGCCTACCCACCTAACCTATGTTAACAATTTCCTCATCTAAAATCAGAGTTCATAATAGTGGTACACTTGATGAAAGGTTTAAGGATAAAGTATACTAATATTAGCAACTTTGAAATGCAAAAGTGGATTGGTGGGTGGATAAAGGAACAGATTATATAGTAAAGTAACAGAATAATATGCTGAGAAATTCAGTTATTTACAGTTATTTACAAGTCTTTCAACTTCTTTGTGTGTCTGAAGTCATAATAAAGTGGGGAGAACTAAGTTTTAGGGTGAAGGTGAAAAGCAAGACAAGACATTGGAAATAAAGCTGCTTAGCACAGTGCTGGGCACCTGGGAAGCAATCAACCCATATCAGCTACTTGCAGTACCAGGTCTTCAGGATGCAGAAGCTGCATAAGGAGAAATTTTGAGGTCTCTTTGACTTTGTCAATATTCCCTTTTTGAAAGATGATGCTCAAAATTGAAACAAGAGAACTTTTTTTTTTTTTTTTTGGTCTTAAGCTGAGACAGAAATCTGAACCTCATATAAGTGCAGGCTTCTGTAGCTGCTGAGCCACACCAAAGGCCAAGAGGCCCGTATCTGACCTTGAAGTACAGCAGGGTGAGAGGGTGGTTGTAATACTAAAGAAAGATCATCAATTTGGGAGTCAGAAATTCATGTAGTATAAATCCCAGCATTACCATTACCAAAGAGGATAGCTGAAGTGACCTCTCCCACCCTGTTTTTTCATCTGCAAAAAAATAATACAAAAAACTTGAGTTGTTTCGTGATTAAATGTAGGCTGAAAAGACTTAGCACTGTTGCCACCTAGCAAAACTGTATTTAATGTGAATGGTCAATACTGGGAGGTGGGTAAAGGACACTTCTGCTCCCAGGCCTTGGGAACCAAAGTTAGCTTTTTAAGATTGCCTACTTCCCTCCCCAAGCCTCCCACAGCTTCCCACTATGTTCAAAAACCCAAATTCCTTACCACTGCCGACAAAGTCCCTCAGGAATCGACCCCCTCCAAAATATACCAATTATTTTGAAGAGTAGTTGATTAGTAGTAGCCTGTCTCATCACACCAACATGCAAGCTCCATGAGAGCAGAGATTTTATATTCCCTGCTGGATCCCTGTGTCGCGAACAGAGAGAGCATGGCACGGCGAGGGGGCCTGACTTAAGACTTGCTGCCGATGAGGTGAAGCTAGTAGTCAGCCTCCCCCTGTGGGGTCGTCTCCTGTTCTGGGACCGCCATCTCCCAGCCCCGGGGCGACGCACCCTCGCTGCCCCCCGCAGCCTGTTTTAATTACCCCGCGGAAACTGCAGTGGGTCACCCCAGCGCAACCCAGCCCAAAGCCCCCCGCTTCAGCGGCCCTTTGCAGCAGTGCCCCTGTTCAGGACCCCGACTCCCTGGCTAGCCCGCCACACCTCTCGCGCGTTCTCCTGGCCCACGAGCCCCGAGGCCGCCTGCTTGGCCAGGCCGCTCTCATCCAGCCCCAGCCCCTTCACGTGGCTGTGGGAGGCGATGCGCTGCGTCTTCGTGGTGCTCTTCACCTCTTCGATCTTCATCTTGCAAACGCCGGGAACCAAAGCGAGCGTGGAAAAGCAGGAGCTAGTACCCCACGCCCAGCGCCTGGGTTACCATGCGGCCGTTACTAGGGCGGTCAGCCAGGCCCCGCCTTTGTCGGCCCTTCATTGGTGGCGGCGGGAACGCCTCCTCCTTCCATTGGCTAATGGCTGTGCCCATCGAGGCTGCCGATAAGGTTCCGCCCACCTACTTCCGGCTGTGTCCCTGGGTTTGTTTCCCCCGCAGCTGTGGCTTCCTGCTCTGGCCCGGTGGCGCGGAAGTGCGGGCGCGCGGGGCTGGGGACTTAGCTTGGATGCGGGGTTGAGCTGAATCCGGGCCTGGAGTCCTCCTCATAATGCCAGGCCTCTCCGTTATCGCATCTGAAAGTCCTGCCTTTCTTCGAAGTTGGAATTATTAGCTCCGTGTTGACTTTCGCTTTCTAAGATGCATGTTAAGTGAAACCAGTCAGATATGAAAGGACAGATACTGAATGTAAGTGAGTATACGAAACATATATTATAGACAAATTCAGAGGAATAAACAATGAAACAGAGGTTATCAGGAGCTGAGCAGAGGAGAAAATGATGAGCTGTTGCCTAATGGGTGCAGTTTCTGTTTGGGCTAATGGAAAAGTTCTGGAAATAATCTTGGTGGTTCTCCAATATTTTGAATATACCCGATGCTACTGAATTATATACTTAAAATGGTTTAAAGGGTAGACTTTATATTATGTATATTTCATTACAGTTAAAAATAATTCACCTCTCAAGAGCCAAATTCTCCAGATATTTTGCAAACCTTATAGGACCTCTGTGCAAGACCTAACACTAGTAACATTAACCACCTACAATACCTGGAAACTCAATTCGATTAGATTATCAGTTAGGGATGCTTTTGTCTTCAAGCAACAAAAAACAAAACTCACAGTAACTTAAGCAAACAAGGAGATTGTGTTTCTGGTGACATGAAATACAAAGCATGTGCAGGGACTTCTTCCTACTCCCATCCTTATCACATAGTTTTGGTTCTCGTGATTCAAAGATAGTTGCTGTACCTCAGGCATCACTTCTGCATTCCTGGCGGGGAAAATACTGGTGGTGAAGGAGGAAGGGCTACAGACTAACTGTTATAGGACAGGGAGAGGGGCAGCCCAAGCCCCGCAAACCTGCCTATTCTAAATGGGTTCTGCCATCCGCCGCATCAACACAAAACATAGGAGACTTTAATGGGAAGGAACTTTAATAAAAACTAGGAAACAATACAGGTGAGGCAAAGAGTCTAGTTTCTAAATGAAGCACCCAAAGTTACCCATCCCCTCGTGGGTAAAAGTCCATCCATATGGGAATGGCGCAGAGCAAAGCCCCAAAGCCTGCTAAAAGTCTAAAGCATCTTCCAGTGGGGACCCACAGAGAAGGGTCACAAACAACCGGACAAGCCCGGAAGGAAAAGAGCAAAATCAACATCAAGATAAAAGCTGCCATGGTCACCTCCCCACGGGTCTCACCCACATCTGTGTCACCCAGTCCACGACCAAAAGACAAGCGCAGTTTCTTCACATGTCTCTAGGCTCCATGCGCCTCCTCCAGGTCTCCTTCTGGCTCCATCCTGCTTCCTTCCTCAGTCTCTTCTCCAGCTTCTCCTCTTCCTGCTCAGCTCCACCCTCCCTTGGGTGGGGCAGGGAACCTCCCCCTTTCCTGGGGACCACCCTGTTACATAACTACTAAATATCATGACTAGCAGAGACTCTTCTAAGGAACTTTCTGGAACCCCAACTGGTGGTGCCCATTGAGATGTCTCTGTACAGAACTGGGTGACATAGCCCCTCATTGCAAAGGAGGTTGGGAGTGTGAAAATGCCTTTACCTGAGCATAGCTTTCCCCATAATTAAATCAGATCTCTGTTAGAAAGGAAGAAGGAAGAGTGGTGAATGACACCACTAGGCAACTTGCAGAATCCACCGTGCTGGCTTCTGTGATTTTACCCACCCTGGTCCCATTTTTCTCCCTCTTTTTCACTGTCCTCTCCTGGGGCTCATGCTTTATGCATCAACATTCTCCAAGGCTCTGTCTTTAGCTCACTTCCCTTTCCATTCTAGGTCCCTTAACTGAGGTCATCCCACCAAACTCCTGCTTTTAGCTACTATCCCTGCATTATGAATCCCAAGTATATATCTTTAGCCTGGACCCAGTTCCTAAGCACAGAAACATTCATACATTCATCCAAAAGCATTTATTTACTCAGTACTTACTATGAGCTGGACATGCTTGAAAGTACAAACAACAACCCTTATGGAGATTGCATTCTAATGAAGGAGAAAGGCCATAATGATATAAGCAACAAATCAGATCATTCCAACTGGTGATTGGTGCAGGAGGTGCATGGGGGCGGGAGGCTACTTCCCATGGGATCACCTTTCTGAAGAGGTAATAAGGACTGTCAGTGCTAGCAAGGAGTGATCTTTTAATTCCCACCTAATGGTGCTCTATGCTTTGACAGAAATAAGACCAATTTACATCTTGGAACTGTATATTGAGTAAGGTAGAAACCTGAGTTAAGTGGTACCATATTGTCACTTGAATTAGGGGTGCTTTGGAACCCCATGGGCCAATGCCCCAGTGACTTTGCTGCTCTGTGCCCTGATCAGACTTCAGCCTTTCCCCTGGATTGATTATAACCCCCATCCTTTTCCGGATTCTCTCTAGGGGGCGCTCTTTCCTAGTTCCCTTATTTTTGCTTGCAACCTCCCCATTAATTAAACCAGCTATACCCATTCCCTACCCTGCCTCAGTTTCCCCATAGTATTCATGACCATGTGACATATATACTATATACATTTGTTGCTTGTTTATTTGTGGGTATGGTTGCACCATAATGGTGCCTCCACCAGGTCTGGGATACTTGTCGATTCTTCTTACTGCTGAATCAAGACCGAATCCAGTGTCCAGCCTGTACAATATGCTTGGTAAGTATCTATTCAATAAAGGAATGCTTGGTTTGCCTGGAGCCTCTGTCAGTCACCTCCGATCCTTCCTCCATCAGAGGGATCATCTCATTCACTCCCCTGCTTAGCAACTTTTGACAAGCCCACATTTCTTTCAAAATCAAGTGTAAATTCCTAAGCCTAGTATACTGAGGATGGCCTGGCCCTTCTATCCCTCCGGCTTCTTCTCTTATCACTCATTCCTTTAGCCTCTTACACTGCAGGCACATCACACCACTTGTAGATCCTTGAATATGTCTGTTCTTTTGTTTTCTTTTTGGGTTTCAGTTTTAGAAAATTGAGTCCATTGCTCCCTCCAGTTTCATTAGTCACATATATTTTGAGTAAGTATAAAGTCAGTGCTGGGCTCTCTTGATTTATTTTACTTTTTAAACATTTCCTCTCTCCATCCCTAATGCCCTCTCTAACTTCATTTCCCCATGTAGATGCCCACTGCGATATATTTGGCCCAGGTCCTGGATGACTTTTTTATTTTTTTTAATATTTTATTTTACTTTATATAATTCTTACATCATTTTTCATTTTTGCAAAGTGTATGCATTCTCATCTTGGTTATATTCCTCATACAATTCCCACCCCCCCTTATTTTGGCCCGATCCTTCCTCTTCTTCCACCCCCCCCCCATTAGTGTGTCTCTGGTTTATAGTTGCTTGTTGTTTTTGATTTTTCTGGATGGCTTTAGATCTTTGGTAAACAAATAGGATTCGTTTATATAGGCAAGGGCTTTTGCTGCAGCTCTCATTGTGCTCCTTACCTTCTCCACCCAACACTAAAGAGAGAGAGAGAGAGTGTGTGTGTGTGTGTGTGTGTTTGTTAAAGGTCTCTCCATTTCTCCTAAGTCCTTTCTAGATTGTTGATCTTACTGTTGCCCACCTCCTACCACAAGCACCCATTTCAGTCCTTCTTCTCATGCCAAATCCCTCTAGTACACTGCCACTGACTCTTGCAACAGAGCTGCCGTGAACAGTCTTGCCTTGTCCACACCTGGGCCTAGGACTGAATCTTACCCAAGATTGAAACTGCTGGCTGCTAGATTATTTGCATGTTGCCTGGGAATTATCCACCTTTCGGATTATCACCAGCCTAAAAAGCATGCTTGTTATTTTAGCTCTAAGTTGATTTCTGGAGGCAGAGATGATTTTGCTAGCACCTAAGAAGTGGTACAAAGACATAAAATTAAATAATTCGATAGCGGAGGCCCACCTACTGAGGACATTGTTGTCTTTTTAATTTTCTTTCAGTAAGTCTCAGCGTGGTAGAACAGTGACCTGAACTCCCAACACTTGCTAATCTCTGTTTTGATTAAGGACTCTGAAATGGAGGTATTTGTGGCCCCTGGGCATTTATGGCAAGAGATTATGTATATGAAAATGCCTTTCCTTAAGTCAAAAAGCAAATGGCTTTAAACTATTAGGCCCTAGTGAAACCTGGATAGTGTGTAAATCATCAGTGTTGTTTTTTATTGCCGAGGGTGAGGAAACATGAGCTAAAATGAGGATCTGCTGTAGGAAACAGAGGGGCCCTGGGCTCCCGGGTGCAGGGGAGCCCTGTCTCCTGCATTCAAATCCAGCTCCGCTTCCCTCCGCTATCGAAGAGCAGTAGCAACATCCACTGAGAGGATTGTTTAAGATCTTCTGCAAGGGGGTCTGACACGGGGCGGGGTGCTGAAAGTGCTCTCAGACCCTGGAGTATAGACTGGGCTCTCCTTCCCCTGGATATTTGTCTTCCTCGTGTGTGGCCTTCCCAGTGCAGTTAACTTTGTCAAGTTTCTGAAACTGAAACAGAACCCCAGGGCACTCACAGGAACTGCTTTGGAGCCTGGAGCAGGAAGTCAGGGTGGGGACAGTGGTCAGGTGAGCAAGGGCCGTCTCTGCCGGGGGAAAGGGCAGTGTTTCCACGTCAGCAGGCACGGCACACCGCCGTGCGGACACCCGGAAACATCCGCTCACTCCGACCTCAGCCTGACTCTTGCCTGACTCATCCCGTGGGCTCTGAGTGTCGTCCCACTGGTGTTCCATGGCAGAAGGTCAGAGGTCAGGGGAGCTTGGATGAAAGCAGCAGGTGCAGCCACAGGACAGGCATTGAGGTTGCTTCCGGTGGAGGTCTTAGTTGTTAGACTGTGATCCCGGGACCTGGGGCGGGGTAAGCCTTGTGAAGACCCTCCATACCTGTGATTGGGTGGGAGGGAATTAGACACCATTCATTCATTCAACAAATATGAAAAGAGACTTATACTCCAATTGAATGTTTGTATTCATTTCTTCTTGCTGCTGTAACAAATTTGCCACAACTTGGTGGCTTAAAACAACACTTTTACCTGTTTACAGTTCTGGAGGTCAGAGTCCAAAATGGATATTACTGGGCTAAAATCGGCAGGCTTTGTTCCTTTCTGGGAGCTGGAGGGGAGGCTCTGCCATCTTGCCTTTTCCAGTCTCTGCAGGCTGCCCACAGGCCTGGGCTCATGCCCTTCTTCCATCTTCAAGGCCAGGAGGCCCAGTAGAGTCTTTTTTGGGATGTCATTTCTGGTCCTCACCTTCGTCTCCCTCTTAGGAAGAACCTTGTGACAGCATCGCGTCCTCAAGCTAGTCCAGCATAATCTCCCCCTCTCAAGATCCTTGACTTTATCACACTTGCAAGGCCCTTCTTGCCATGTAAGAAACATAGTCACAGGCATCTTTGGGGAACCATTATTCTGGCATGGCCAGTCTCCTCTTCTAGGGCCCCGCATCACAGCCCAGGCTGCATTCCCCAGGCTTCCGTCCAGTGGCAAAGAGCATGCTTTGTATTGTTGCCCTGGAAAAAAAAAAAATTCCTGAGTTTGCTCTGACTGAGCTAATGTGGGTCGCAGGCTCATGGCCAAACCCATCACTGAGGCCTATGAGATGGACTCTACTGATTGATTGGACCAGGGTGTCAGGCTCTACCTGAAGCTAGAGGGGAGTCAGCTCCCTGAGAAACCTGAAAGAGGAGGTATGAGGCCTCCAAAGAGAATGGAAGGTCTCACAAAAGAGGGAGGAAGGGGGTGCTGACTTTAGTGGGCCATAATGACCTTGGGAAACGTTATGTCCATTTGCAGGCAGAAGGCGCGGTGAATCACACGGCCAGTATGAGGTAGGGCCATCACTTGAAACCTCATGGGGCCCTTTTGGCCAGGACCTCAACTTCCCCCTCCTGCGGCTAATGTGGCAACAACAGATCTGTTTAGTTCTGGGAATGCCATTGAGCTCTGCTGGTGGCCCGGGTGACAACCTCTGCCAAGGTTACTGTGGGACATACTGAGGAAGGTACACGGTTAACACAATCATGGGTGAGGTAGATTCCCTCAGAGAAAAGGGAAATTTCCATTTCACTCCTAAAAGAATCTTTCAAGCCAAAACTCAAATCAAAGAGCAAAGTATAATAACTTCCTCTGGGCAAATTTATAATTAATCCTGGATTAATTGGCCTTAATGAAGTTGAATTAATTACTAGCTGTTTGTAAAGAACTTTGAACTACCTCAGTACAAAATGGCATTAAAGAAACAGAAAGGAACCAGCTTCGCATTAACATTAAGAACAAATCCCAAATAATCGCAATTCTGCAGGCCGTTTCCTGCCAATCATTTTCCCAGGAAGCGTGCCCAGCCTGTGGAACTGCGTGGGCCCCAGGAGCCTGTTGCAGTGGAGAATGTCTCCCGGCCTAGAGGTTTGGGGTGAGTCCACCCAGGGGACAGTAACGGAGCCCTGCATGTGCCAGGCCCCAAGTAAGCCAAGATGTGTGAGGGATCCTCAGTCCAGGGGTTGGGGAAGAGCACCGAGCACCAGCCTGGTCTACAGCTCACTCAGCCAGGACAGAGACAGCGCACGTGTCCCGCTTTGCTGGCAACAGCTCTCCGGTTTCAATCGGAAGGTCCCACCACCTACTTCACTTCCAGCTCTTGGGCAAGTTTATGACCCTCACTTGGCTGGGCAGCCTTTTGTATTTCTCTGCTTGGTGCAGGGGAACCTGACTTCATCAGGGACAATGAGACTCCATGTTAGGAAGCCACAGGCCCACAGAGGCTGTCAGATTGCACACGCTGGCAGCCATCTTGTCACCACGAGAGCAGAGTGGGCCTGCGATGGAAGCAACCAGGAAGAACGAGGGATGGAGACAAAGTCAGTGCCTTCATGTCATCGTCTGAGCCGCTGGATGAGGCTACGGCAGAAGCAAGCTCTTCCTCTATATTTTTTAGTTTAGTCACTTAATTTATTAGGTTTAGTTGTTTAACTTAACAAACACTGATAGGTCTCTTACTACACTTCAAAGGGTCACGCAAATACCAATGCATTTAATTCTTACAAACTCGTGAGTTAGGAACTATGACGCCCTCCTACTTTATACATGAAAAAAAAAAAAAATGAGGCACAACAAGGTTTTGTAACTTGCTCAAGGCTTTGTACCAAAAGCAGTTATCACTCCCCTCCCACTCTTAAAGAAATGAAAGAATCTTAATCCTGCAGGTGACTTTGGAACATTAGTTTAAATTAAAAATAATTATTTATTGAGTAGATAATACTTTCACGTGATTGAACATTCCCAAAATGCCAATGTGTTTCAAATAAAATGTCTTCCTCTGTTCCTATCAGCCCACCAGCTCGCTGATGGAGCACTACCTGTAGGCACTATGTGTGCGATGCACACTAGTATCCCAAGTTCAAACACCCGAGAGGGAAAAAGATAGTAAATCATAAACATAAAAAGGGAATACATAGAATGTTAAAGGATGAGAGGTGCAAGAGAAAAACCTAAACAGATGAGGGAGATGATACGGTAAGTGTTTTAAATAAGCTGCTCAGGGCAGGTCTCATGGAGGAAGTGGCAGCTGAACTTGAAGGAGATGAGAGACGTCAGCCATGTAGAAGTTTGGGAGAAGAAAGTTCCAGGCCACACAGGTCCATGCTTCACGTGCCTGAGTAACAGCAAGGCACCAGAAGACAGTAGGTGAGTCCAGAGAGATAAAATGGGGTGGGGGCTGTAGGACCCTGGAGGCTACTATGGCCCAGACTGGGCTCTGCCTCTGAACAAGGTGGGGAGACACTGAAAGATTTTGAGAAGAGTGATGTGATCTGACTTATGGGTGAGACATACCACTCTGGCTTTGTACAGAGGTGAGGCAGTAGGAGAGCTGCAAGAAGATCTGTTAGAAAAGTGACTGCAGTGAGTCAAAATCACAATGAGCTACATTTATTAGAAAATAGAACCAGGGGCCTCGCTGGTGGCTCAAGGGGTTAAGCACAGCACTGTGAAGCTGTCCGCAGCCTCTGCAAGACATGTTCGATCTCAGGCCAGGGAGCTATCCACATGGTGCAGCAGACCTCTCCTGTCTCACCCACTGCTCCCCTCAGCAGTGTATTTCAGTAGATCTGCCTATTCTGCTTCCCACTCTGTTGCTGGTGAATCACCCCCTATGCCTCTGGTCTACACACCCAGCTCTTATATGCATTAAAAAGTAAATCTTAAAAAAAAAAATTTCCAAGGCCTCCCTGGTGGCACAAGGGGTTAAGCCCAGCGCTGTGAAGCTATCCGCAGCCACTGCAGCACGAGTTCGATCCCCGGCCAGGGAGCAACCCACATGGCACAGCAGACATCTCCTGTCTCTCCCGCTGCTCCCCTCAGCAGTGTATTTCAGTCAATCCATCTGTTCTGCTCCCCACTCTGTCTCTGGTGAATCCTCTCACCCCTCACAACTCTGGCCTGTACCCCAGTTCTTCTACACATAAATAAATAAATCTTTAAAAAAAAATTCCATCCTTGACTTTAAGTTTGAGCTGTTAGTCATAAAAGTTGTATATATGAGTCTGCTCTTAGGAGTGAGGTCTGGGTAGTGATATACATCCAGGAGTTGATGGTTCTTAAAGTCATGAGACAGATCACCAGGGAGTGATGCAGAGAGAAGATATAAGAAGGCTTAGTGCTGGGGCCTTCCCAGGCCCACTGCTATGTCTCTCTGTACCTGCCGCCCCGTCACTCAACCATGGTGCACTGCCTTGCTTTATTTTGTCCAAAGTGCTTCATCATTACTTGTTTCATCCACTGTTGCATCCCCAACAAGAACAGCGTCTGGCACAGAACAGGTGCTCTGTCACCATTGCTTGGCAAATTGAGGAAATGAAGGGATAAAGGCCTAAAACTGTTAAAGGGCAATCCGGATATTGAGCGGGTTGCCTGGCTGTGGGTCCTCACCCGCGCGCTTAAAAGGGACTTATGAATACTCCACTGCAGGCACACACAAAAGGTTAATAAAAGGTTTATTGACAAGGGAAAAGGAAATAAGGAAAATGGACAACTCAGGGAGAAAATAGGGAAATAAAGTCTTTAATGCGTCCTACCCGATCCGCCGACCTGGAAACCCAAAGGCACTCTCAGAGCTGGCAGGACGCTGCGAGCTGGTGGAGAGCCAAAATGGGGGACCCCCCCCAAAGCCCACGTGTCTGTCTTTATACTCACTTGGCTGCTTACCCCCACCCTCCGGTCCCAGCCACCTTCCCTTGGGTGGGGATGGGATGTGGAGTTCCCAGTGTCTTTGGCTTTGGCCTGGGGTGGGGGTGGAGTCCACAAAGCCTGTATGGGATTAGCTTTAGGACAGCCTTTTCCCCCTAACAGAACTAGAAACTTGGGGCCCCTCCTTCTCCCTCACGGCGTGTGCATGAGTACGGAGGCTTGCGGGTACTCTCTGAAGGGGTCAGCTTCAGCCATCAGCTCCCCTGCCTCCCGGCTGACCACCGTCATCACTGCATGTCAACAGAGCAGGCGTCCCCCGTCGTGAATGGGAGCGTCTAGGTACCGAATGAATGAACGGACGGAGGGATGGGCCCCCCTCCCCGGGCTCCTCAGGCCTCAGGGGGGCGTAGCCAGGTGGGGGAGCGGCGCCGCGGTCGGCGGTCTCGGGCAGGCCCGGCGCTTGGGCACCCCCCGGCGCGGAGCAGGCCGGGCCGCCGGGCGCAGGGAGGGCGGAAGCTTCGGGGCCGGAACGGGCGTGCCGGGCGCGTCGGTTGCGGGGGGGCCGCTTAACGGGCCGGACCGCGGTGGGGCCGCGGCGGGCGGGCGGCATGGCCGGGCGGCGGGTGAACGTGAACGTGGGCGTGCTGGGCCACATCGACAGCGGCAAGACGGCGCTGGCCCGGGCGCTGAGCACCACGGCCTCCACCGCCGCCTTCGACAAGCAGCCGCAGAGCCGCGAGCGCGGCATCACGCTCGACCTGGGCTTCTCGTGCTTCTCGGTGCCGCTGCCCGCGCGCCTGCGGTCGGCGCTGCCGGCTGCGCCCGCGGGGTCGGGGCCCGCGCCCGGCGAGCCGCGGCTGCAGGTCACGCTGGTCGACTGCCCCGGGCACGCCTCCCTCATCCGGACCATCATCGGCGGTGAGCGGGGCCGGGGCGGGAGCCGGGCTCGGGGACGCTGGGCGGAGCGGCCGGGGACGGGCGAGCACCCCGCTTCGCCGCGGGGCCTCCCCGAGGCCCCGAGCCGCGGGCGAGCCCCGCAGCGAGCGAGCGGAGGTGTCGGGACTCGAACTCGCGGCCGCTGACGTGGACCAAGCAAATACAAAGCGCAACCAAGCAAAAACAAAGTTGATTTTTACACTCTCCTCCGCCAACACCCCCTCCATGTGTTTGTTATACACGAACAAGTTATGAAAACGCCAAGACTGCAAAAACAAAGGTTTACGTGAAAAGTGTCCCCAAAAAGTCTTCACTCACCTGACATTGAGTTCCTGGTTTGCATCCCCAGAGCCGGACTCTATCCCCAGTTTCTCACGTTCTTGTGTGTCATTTCAGAAAACTCCATGTAAAGACAAGCATGTTCGTGCATATATCACCCCTTTCTCCTTTATTTTTTTTCATGTGGTAACACCATGGCCAGTATTTTACCCACTGTGTCTGGAGAGGTCTGAACATCCACCTGTAAAGCTACATCATTCCCTTTAAAGGTCACCTTAAAATTCCATTGTGCAGTCGTACCAACATTTTCTGAACTAGTCAGTTAAAGAAGGGATATTTTTGTTGTTTGAGTTTTTGCTACCCATGCTGCCGTGGATATTCTAGAACAGAAGCCTTGGGTGGGTGTGTAAGAACCTCTGTGGGACGAACTCCTACAGCCAGACTGACTGGGGCTGAGGACATGTGCATTTTCAGTCATGGTGGGCACAGCCAAAATGCCCTTCTGAGACACTGTGCCGGTTAAGTACTTTTTCACCACCTAGGGGATACATGAATACTTTCTATTTGTGAAGAAAGAGAACATTACAAATCAGGTACAAGTCCCCTAATGGCCCCTCCTGTCTCTCCAGAGGGAGACACTACTCTTTGTGAATTGCTTTCCCAGGCTTGTTTCACGTCACTTAAATCTACAGTCAGGGCCTTAAAAGTTGGTATTAGAGAAACGTGATAAAATAACACAAGCATGTGGCACAAGAGTATTTAGTTAAAAGGAGTCTCCTCACTGTTGACCACACACCTGATTTCCTCCCTGTTTTCCATTTCCTTGTTTCCTTCCAGTGATATTCCAGACCCCTACAAACACATCTGGGGGCTGTACTACCTCTGCCCCTCCCGGCAGAAGCATTCACAGAGAAGCAGATGATTTTATTGGGCTGCTGGTGGATGGCCCCCTTGGGCACTGGCTGTATGGGCCCCCTGCTATAGTGACGAGTTTGTTAAGTACTTTCATCTTGGTTAACTCCCAACTGTTCCATGTTGCAGGCAGTCTGAGGTCATTTCCCCATTTTACAGCAGGAAAGGGAGGCTCAGAGAGGGAAAGGGGCCTGCCCAAGGTCACCTGTCTGAAGTCTACTCCAGCCATGCTTCCATCACCAGGTGAACATTGCAGGGTATCCTTCCTCTACCCTTTCTTACTCTTCTGATAACTGAAGTGTTTGCTCACATTTCAGTACACTTTGGGACATTGCTCTGAGCTAATCTAGCTTGGAGGTGAAAGAGACAGGCTAAGAGAGAGAACGTGGATTTCTCTATAGTAAGCAAAGGACATTTTTGCAATCAGCCAGAAGTGGACTTGAAGCCTGACTTTCTCTCTTACTAGCTGTGTGACCTTTGGACCTAATTCTGGACCTTCACACACTGGCAGATCATGGTAGCTACACAGCAATTTATGCACAGCTTTTCATGCACATTTGCCACTTCTCAGGCAATCCCTGCTAGGAGCCGAGTGGTTTACCATCTAGTTGAGCAAAATGGAATGTAGGGAGACTGCTGTAAGTGAGGACTCCCGAGGTAGAGCTCTTCCTGCTTCCTCAGGTCACCTTATACTCCTCCAGCCTGTTCCAACAGGTACATCCACAGAGAAGCTCTTTATTGGACAAAAAGTCTTCAAGTGCCAGCCTGATCTTCTATAACCAAATCGTAACACCCCAGAGAATTTGGCAAGTCTTTGGTTTAGACTATAAAATTGTAGAAGGAAAGAAGAGGAATTTTTCCATTCTTGTACATTGTTGCTCTTACCTTTCCTCTGGCTTCCTCAGTGAGGAGACTTTTCTTAGTAACCATTGAAATGTGGCCTGGGCACAATGGAAAGATAAGACCAAGATTGCTGCTATTCTTCCTTAAATAGATCTGATTCCCACCTTCCTTGTAGGGAAAAGGAAAAAAAGTGGATTTTCTTCCTTGTGAGAGCAGACTGCCCACCTGTGTGCCCGCTCTGCCCTGTTAGGAGCTTGCATCTGTCCAACAACCTGTGTGGTGGGAGTGGCAGCCCTGTTTTTCACATGAAGGAACTAAAGCATGAAAAGTAGAATTCCCTGGGCTGGTGTTGCCATCTCAATGCTGCCCCTAGCCTGTTGCAGTTGATGCCTTTGGTAATAGACTCTCATGATCCATAATCCCTCAGCCCCCTTTGCCTTGAAATAACCATGGAGGTCAAGTCCTAGCTTATGGCAGCCAGACCCCTATGATTCTGGCTTGTTCTTCCTCTCCTGACCACTTACCTTTGCCTCTTCTCACTTATTCCCCTCCCAGCTGTAGTGGACTCCTTATACAGATGTACAGTAGATCATGTATGCCCTCAGCTCCGAGGCTTTCCAGTGGCTTCTCACTGTGCTTCGAGTAAAATCCATCCTCCTCTATGGCCCACAGGATCCAGGGTCTGGCCTCTGCCTCCCTCTGGCCCCACCTCTTGTCCCTGACTTTTAGTCAATGGCTTCGTTTCTGTTATTGAATGGGCCCACTTCGCACCTGCTGTACCCTCTGGTACACCTGGCCCCTCCTCATTTAAGTCTCAACTCGAATGTCACCTCTTGAGAGAGGCCTGTTCTGATCTGTTTTACTCACCAGTGTGTTCTAGCTGTCTGGGCCATGGCCTGATGTGGGCCTTCATTCAGGTCCAGATGATTGAAGCAGTGTCCCAGCTCCCAGGCTAGCTGGTTACAGTGAACTGAGAATTGTCTTCACAGGTTAGTGGACAGAAGCAGAGGGCCTGACTGGCAGCAGGTTCAGAGAGCTTGCATGCTGCTTCTTTCTCTCCTGCTAGGAGCTGTTGGCAGTGCTGGGTGAGGGCCACTGTCAGGTGGCAGAGTGACTCTTAGGGCTCTTTGCATATGGGACAAAGTAAGAAAAACTCACTTTGCTAGGGCCTTGGGAGTACCAGGCATGATGGGGAAAGGAGAGCTTTCCTGTAGCGGCACTGCCTGGGCAAGGCTCTGAGGCTTCAACCTGCCGTCAAGTCTGTTTCGAACCAGAGATAACCCAGCATGCAGTGAGGGGGCTTCAGCATGGTATGGAGGGAGCTGTGCTGTAGGGGGAGGAAGGGCGCTTGGCAGATCCTATAGAGTGTAAGTGTCCGGTGTAAGTTAGGCCCTTGGTGTAGATTTCTCCTAAGGTCCTCGGAGCGCCCAGGTTTGTAACCTGATTAGGCTGCACTTTAAAAGGATACATGCTGGCTGGGCAGGCAGTGCCCCTGGGATTACTAGGAGATTGAGCTCCTTTTAGGTCTCTGGCTCTCTGAGAAGGATTCACACCCCTGGCTGAATATGCTCACCTAGGAAGAGGAAATTACAATAGCTGCCTGAGTTCCACAAAAGTTCATTATATCTTAAAACTGACTCTTTAATTCCAGTGCTCCCACTCAGAATACTTCCACACACAAGGGTGGGGGGCGATTAATCGTACTTGGTGGCAATACACCTAGCGTCTATTAGCGCTGGCCTTCTGCTGGCTTTCTTGTGTTTCCCTGCTCCCCCCTGAATCCTCACAGAATCCTGTAAAGTAGGAGGAGATTATTCCCACTTCACAGGTGAAGCAGCAGAGGCTCGGAGAGGTCAAGGAGCGCAGTTCCTAGGTGTCAGGCTAGGCCTGAGCCCCCTGGACTACCAGCCGGCAAGCAGGCGTCCTCACAGGCACGAGACACGCTCTTCCCCTCCGCCCCGGAGTCGTGTTTCAGGGCGGCCTTTTTCCTCTAATCCATTTTAGAGGATAAATCTTTCAGGGTTAGAACTTCAAAAAGATTCAGTAATGTATGTTTTAAAGACTTGGGTGGGGGTGAGGGACTTGGACCCATCCTCAATCTAACTCTGGCAGGAAGGAGGAGAGCTGAAAAATGCTGGTGTCCCGGCTCAGCCATTTATAGTCCTCTGGTGGCTGTGAGGATTAACAGCGCATTGTCTCCCGGTCTTTTGTTCCAGTGGTTAATGAACAGCAGCTCTTCTGCAGCGACAAGTCGCCCTGATCTCTTGCCTCCCTGCCCATCTCCGCAGCAGGGCATCCTGCATGGCTCGCAACCTCTCCGGCCCTCCCTGCCCGCTGCCTGGCCTTCAGGGTGACTCAGGTTTACTCCTGTTCGAGGTGCAAACAACCAGAGAACAACCTTAGTAAAACTTGTTACTTCTGTGTTTCTGACATACGTGCTCTTGGTGCTGCTGCAGAGAAAGCCCCGGCCGCCCTGGGCGCTTTTATCTGGAGCGAGCCCTGTTGTCTGTCCGAGATGCTTGCTCCGGACCCAGGAAACAGGTGTTAGTGTGTGGATGATCGTGTTTCGGCCAGATTTTCTACCTTACCCTCTAGTGGGCATCCTCACGGAGAGCAGCATGGGCCAAGCAGAGAGGACAAACTGAGGCTGGGCTGCATGAGGAGTTGGGGGGCTATTCTAATGCAAAACCAACCAACCAACCCCAAATAGCCCACTTTTGGTTTTCTTTGCCTCTAGAATTTGTGAGAAATACATTATGGTATTCCTATATGTTTGTCCTAAAATAATGAGGCCGATTTAAAGGAGTTGGTGTAAGCGGGTCTGCTTCCTTCACCAGAGCTGCTTCAGCTGCTGGACTGCATCAGGCCTTGGTTCCCTGTCCCTCCCTGTGCACCCAGGGAGAGCTGTCTTTTATTTCTTCTTCCTGTTAAGGGGTGTGTGCTTCACC